AGATGTGTGCACACGGGAGCACGGCCGGGCGGGCACGCGCACACACAGATGGCCCGGCCCACCCCCGGGGCTTCTGACTTGGGGAGCCAGGCGCTCCGCGGCGGGCTGAGGCACCAGTGATCCCCGCGGGGCGGGGGGTGGGGGGGCTGACGCTCATGGTCACCGACAGCGCTCGCTCGGAACCGCGTCGTTGTGGCTGAATTATCTGCTCCAGGGCTGAAGCTCCAGCAGGTCGTTAGGAGCTGGTGTGCGGGGAGGGCCCCGCTCACTGTTTAGATTTCGGTGCCCGTGGCATAGGGTGAAGGGACCGGGGACCATTTTGAGGGCAGAGGTCTTCCCTTCCTGGTCCCCTGGCGCCCGCACAGTGCCCGCTCAGGGGGTGTGGAGACAAGTGGCAAAGACGTGGACGCTGTCGGTCCCAGGCGCCGGTTCGGTGGTGTGATGAGGGGCTTGGGTTTGGTGGCACAGGGAAGCCCCCATATGGAAGGAAGTGTTTCGTCTGGGGAAGGAATTTTTAGCCCCTGTGGGTGTATCAAGGGTGTCTGAGGCATGTGTTTACTATCCAAATGATGACTTGAAGTCATGCCTCTGTTGAAATGGGGACGGGAGCAGATGGGCCCCTTCTCCTCCCACCCTGCCCCGCCTCCCTCCTCCCCAAACAAGCGGGGAGGCGGGGAGGTGACACGTGTCCCCTAAGTTAGAGTCGGACAGAAATTCTCCTCTCAGATGCCGGTTTGGATTTCCATTTACTGCTCCTGACCCACACAGGCGACGGTCTTCTGCTCCGTGAGCCTCAGTTTGCCCATGTGTAAATGAGGGGATCCTTTCTGCTTGGAGCACGGCCCCCGGCCTGGCAGCAGCTCACCTGGGGAGCTGGTTAGAAATGCAGAATCACACCCCAGACCTGCTGGGTCAGAAGCTGCGTTTTAACGAGTCCCCCAGGTGATCCAGGCGCCACCCAGGCACGGGCTGGCCGGAATGGGCCTCGTACCCTATTGGCTCCTGCGTTCTGTGAGCCTGACACAAAGCGGATGGTGGCTTTGTAATGTCACTGACTTCTCTTTGTGGAATATTCTTGCTCGTTCCAGAAAGGTCTGGGTGGGTGTGTTTGCAGAGGCGGGGGCAGCTCACGCTGGAGGGGCTGCTTCATGGAGAACCTGGGAGACGCTCTGTGTGCAGAAGAAAGGGGTCTTCTGTGCACTTCTGTCTGAGGAGGCCAGGTGGGGCTCCCTGTGTCCACGGTCCCGAGCACAGCAACCCCAAACGTCCTGAGAAAGGGCCCAGAGCTCCCGGAGCCCCCAGAGCTGGGGCTCCTCCTGTGTATACCTGTGATCTGGAAGGTACACGGGCTGCCCTGTCTCCTGGTCCTTCCTTCTCCCCAGGGACTCTGTGGCAGGACCGGGTGACCAAAGGAGTTCCTTCTTCTGCCCATGGGATGAAGCTGGGACGAGAGGCAGTCCAGGGAGTTGGCTGCCCATTGCCTGGTTCAGGAGAGGAGGCAGGGTGGGCACCACACTTTGTCAGAGGAGATTTCCGTCTGGAGGGGACGAGAACTCTGGGCTCTGCCTTCCTGTTTGCATGGTTTCTGGTGGCCACTGGGGTGGGCCTGTGGGTTCCTATCCAGAAAAGGTTCTAAGATGAGCCTGCGCAGGTGGTCTGGCCTGCACCAGCCCCACGGGGCCCTCCGCGAATGGTGGCACGGGCTGGCCTTCCAGAGAGCATAACTGGGGGGTGGCCACGGGTCAGGTATCTCGCTTGATCCCACAGTGACCTTGGAATTTAGGATGTATTCTCTCAGATTTTACAGACCAAGAAAGGGAGCCCCAGGTGGTCAGATGGTTTTCCCGATGTAAGCTGTGTGGCCAGGATTGAGGATTCCGGACCACACCGTCCTGCCAGTGGCTGGGCCCAGACTTCTCAGGATTTGCCTTAGTGCAGGTCTGATGGGGGAGACAGCTGTCCCTGTGCTCTCACCCCCCGAGACAGGCTGCCGGCTCACCCTGCAGGTCCCATGTCACCCCCCGCCTCAGAGCGGAAGCGGAACCCCCCGCCACCTCTGGACTCTCTCGGAGGGGTTGGGCTTCCAAGGCCCCGCCGGCAGCAGGGTCTCTCGTGCCCTGGGGCCAGCGTGCTGCTGTTCTGGGCGGTCTGAGCAAGGATCCAGGGGCTCTCTGAAGGCTAGAACAACACTCTGCTCCCCTCTCTCTGCAGGTGCCAAGCCCCAGACCCCAGGACAGACCACCTGCAGAGAGAACCAAGACCCTGGCGCTGGCGTGTGAAGGCAGCGTCTTTGGTCCCTGCGAGGCCTGGCAAACGCGCGGACCGGGCCGCCGTGGAAATGCAGAAATACTGCTGTTCTGGAACCCTGAGCTAGTTACGGCAAATCCTGAGGAGCTCCAAACAGCACGTCCGCCTTCTTCCTCCTTGCGGGCTCTGCAGAAGGGGGTCGCTGCACCCTTCAAGGAGCAGGTCAGCTCAGGGCCATCAGGCAGCGGTCAGCCAGCCTCCGGCCCACAGCTTCCTGCGGAAACTTCTAGCACTGTTGGCCAGTGTGTGCTCTTCCCGGGCCTTCGGCAGCCGGGAACCGGGTCAGGACCGTATCTTGCCAGCAGAATCTCAACTCCCGTTGCCAGAAAGCTTTGAGTGGCTGGCAGAAAAAGCCGTCCTCCCTTGGTGAAGAACTCCCAAGTGAAATTTGAGAAACTTTGGGGATTCGCTTCAACAGAATGTTCCTCGGGGTTTCTGTACTCGGGCGCTGGAAGCCACTCCCAGGAGAGAAAGCACAGAAGCCTGCCTCCCACCCCGGCAATGTGGGGTTCACCTCTCTAGGCAGGAGGCCTCTCTGCCTCCCATGGCTCGGACAGAGACACGGCAGAGGTCTCTTTAATGTTGGGACAAAGAGGTTTTGAGCATTATCCCTCCAAATGGAATTGTGTGTATATCCCCCCAGAAAGTGATTGTGTGTGTGTGTGTGTGTGTGTGAGTGTGAGATCTTTGAAATGACCTGTGATATAATCAGAAGATGTCAGAGCTGCAGGGCCCCTGCACGCCTGACGTCCACTCTGCATGGGAATCCGGGGCCCACAGAAGCGGTGCTTTCCCGGTGGACCCCAGGAGCTGGGGCAGAAGGGGTGCCCGCACCCAGACTGCCTCCCGTTCCCATCCCCTCCACACTGGGAGCTGGGGACATTCCGCTAGTGAGCGGAGGTGCCAGCCTGTGGTCCGGAAGTCCGGGCGCCCTTTAGAGGAGCCCCATGGTGATGGGGGGCTTATCTGCAGCAGACAGCAAGCTGCCCCTGGTTTTCCTGATCGGGACTTCAGAGCGGGGCCGTGCCACTCTCCCACCCCTGGAGTCCCTCCTTTTATCACAGAGAGCAGGAACGCAGACCCTCCTGTTCTGGGGCCATGGGAAAGGCGCCGTTCCCAGATGCCGCGATGCGTGCCTTCAGCAGCCAGCCGAGGCGACTAGAATGGGCCTGTTGTTCTCGCAGGCCAGGCCTGGGCCAGGCAGGGAGGACACCGCGGGCATTGAATCTGAGAGTATTGGTTTCTCCCTCCCCACCTCCTGGCACACCTGCGCAGAAGGACGCAGGCCCAAGGCAAGGGTCTCCGCTCAGACCTTCCTGTCTGCCCCGACTCCCCTGGGGTGCCCCAAACGCTTTACTGGGAGCCCACGGGCCAGGGATGGTCAGATTTGTCCCTGAGCTGGTTCAAGGGGAGGAGCCTGTGTCGGGCAAGAGAGATTTAGGCCCCTTTCTTCGTGAGGGAGACTATGTTTGTGCCTGGGCACAGCCGCCATCACACCCGGGATAGGACCCGGGGACCCCGCAGGGAAGCCAGAGCTGGTCACCCCCACCGAGCCCAGTCTGAGCCATCTGTGTGGCCACAGAGGGACAAACGTGCTTCCTGGGTGCATTCTGTTCTGAAAGGGGAATCTGGCATCTTCTTCCTGTCTTGACGTTTATCTAGACAAGAGTCCCATATCGACCGTCTGTAGGAGTAAAACGAAAAAGATAAGTGGCTTTAATAAAATAGAAGTTTAATGAAAAAGAAATTTAGTTCTCTCACACATAAAAATAAATCTGTAATCTAGGGCTGTTCAGTTCTCCACATGGGCAGGGCCTAGATGTTTCTCTAGATTTGCTTTGCCACCTTCAGCATGGGTCCCACTACGTAGCCAAAGAGGGCTGGTGGAGATCCAGCCATCATATCCACATTCCTGCCAGCAGGGAGGAAGAAGGAGGAAGGAAGGTCTTCCTGGTTTTCCTTAAGGACATTTCCTGGAATTCACACACCGTCCTGGGGCTGTGTTGGCCAGAACTTAATTCTAAGGCCACAACTTATATAAGAGAGTCTGGAAAGGTAGTCTTTATACTAGGTGCCCATACCCCCAGATAAAAGTCGGGAGTTCGTTTCCCAAGGAAGGAGGGAACAGCTGGGGGACAGTTCTCTATCTCCACCTCATCTTCCTTTGGCTAGGTGATACACAGAGGGTTTATAACACACAGATATCCTGTTATCAAGACTTATTTTAGAAGCGTAGACTGATAAAAATGGAGCAAAGATTAGAATTCAGCCCATCCACAGCCTTGTTTTCCAAATTAAGAAACTGAGGCCCAGAGAGGTCAGTCAGAAAAGCTGAGCTCACACAGCAAGTTCGTGGCATCTAATTTCCTCCAGCTCATGTTGCGTGGGAGTATTTTCGGTTTTCTCTGCTTCTTAAGAAAAAGGCTTCATTCTGGAGGGGCAGGAGCGCGGGCGCCAAGGATGAAATTCTATCCACTGCCGGGTCTCTGAGCTGCAGGCCCCTGGCAGGACGGGGACGGGGCAGGCGTGCCCCAGTCTGCCCGGCCCTGAGTCATGGCAGCTGAGGACTCTGCCCTGGCTGGCTGGCCCGTGCCCACTGGCACTGCCCCTGTGTGCGCCGGTCACCCTGTCTGTGTCCGCCCCGTCTGTGGACTCACTCAGGGTCTCACTCAGTGTGCTTCAGTTTCAGGGATCACTCCGCCAGGATGGGAGCTGCCAGCGGGCAGGACTTCTCCTTCAAGGCGATGCTGACACTCAGCTGCCTCAGCCTGGCCTGCTTCCCTGGGGCCGCGTCCACAGGTGAGCCACCACAGCGCCGTGGCACTTCCGTGCCTCAGTGGGAAGGCGAGGCTGCTGGGGGCAGGAGAAGGAGCCACAGGGCAGGGGCAGGGCGGCGGGGCTCTGGCCGGTCCCTGCTAACCTCCTATCCCAGGCGAGTCTTGTCCTGGGCCTACGTCGTAAGCCACGAAACGATGGGGCTGGACTAGATGCAGGGGTTCCACACTCAGTATCCACAGGAGCCAGGCAGACCAGTGGGGCTGGCCAGGCGGGGACCGTGGTCACCTGGGGAGTTCAGGCTCCTCCAGAGGGACACCCACTTCTCAGTTCTGGCCAATTGCTGTCATGTGTGAAAGTGGGGCCCTATTGCGGGATCTCATGAATTCTTAAGAGAAGGCAGAAATCTAGATTTTTATGTAAAATTCCTTTCTTGTTAAATGTTGACAACCAATTCAAATGTTACAGACCGCTTTGGTCGGCGGGGGGGGGGGGGGGGGGGGGGGGGCGGAGTCCAGAGAAAAATCACACGTCTGGGAGCCAGCCTGCCACCTCCACCTGAGCCCACCCTTCCCTCCTCACTTTGCCATCATAAAATCTGGGATCCGTTAAGCGCTTTGTCGGCTGTGATGTTCTACGCAAGGTCTGTTTTTCTGATCTCAGTGTCAACTTTTTCCCGGGACGATTTTGAATGAACAAGCAGAAGCTCAGGGCAGGTTTGTGGGGACAACAGGAGACAGCCATCAGGGAGACAGACTTGGGGTAGCAGGTGAGAGATGGGGGACCATGTGTCTGTTTCGAGCAGAGGGTTAGCAATGACACCATCACCATCGCAGCTCATGCTCTTATCATTAATCAAGCTGGCTGCTTTTCTGCAATAAGAATAAAGGAACTTTGTTTTGTTCTGCTCGACCCGCGGAGGGCAGGAAGTAATCTCTAATCGTCATGAGTAGAATTCCTTCAGTGTGATTCCCCTGGAATCTTGCAGGTCTGGAGAGGACGGGGCAGGCAGGCAGTGTTTTAACTCTCGGTGAGATCGTGGGCAGCATGGCCTGAATTCATTCATTCATTCTTTAGTCATGGATTCACCTAGTGAACGCCAAGGGGCATCGGCGCTAGGCCAGGAGTGGGGCTCAGATGTCTGTTTCTGGATGAACCCCCTCAGGGCCTTGGGGAGTTCTCATCGGGTACTTTCCTGCTACCTCCTGGGTGTCTCTCCTCTGTCTGGGTGGAGACCGCTGGGTAGGAGGCCGTGTCTCTGGTTCTCCTGGTCCCTGCTCCTCTCTGTAGTCTCTCCCTCCGTGCCCCGAGTGCGCCGGGCTAGCATTCACTCTCTACCCCGCTCCCTGCTCCTGCAGCCCCTCCTGGGAAACCTGGCTGCCCTGGAGATATTCCTGCCAAGGCTCTGACCATTGCCAGCCCCTGGCAGGTTCCCACAAATGAAAACCTGCTGAAACTGACCTTCACCGCATGTGAATATCCAGCTCTAATGAAAGAGCCCGGCTTGTGCCCGCTCAGCTTCTGCTGTGGGGCCAGAGCTGCTGGTGCTCTGGGACATGGTCTCCTGATGACAGGAGAGCCTGTGGGGTTAGCCTGACCACTTCCAAATCCAGATGTGACGTTGGACTCAGTGCGTGTGCTTGGAGAGTAGAGGGGCGGTCGAGCTGGTCCTGGGAGATGCGGGTGGCAAGACCCTAGGGCTTTATCCCGTGAAGTTGGGATGCTTGTGGCTCCATGTCTGGACCACTTGGCTCGCCAGTGGGCCTCATGTGTCCCCTGCACAGATGCAGCCTCACCTCCTTGGAAACGGACACTCGGGTCCAGAACTAGGTGGAGGGCAGCCTCCTTGGCTGGAAGCCACCAAGCCCTTGACCCACCTGAAGACAAACCCAGGGACGGGCAGGACTCTCAGAAGCCTCTTCGTGCGGTGGAGGCTCCAGCCCCAGCCCCCGTGACCCAGGGCTGCCGGATGCTGAAGCACAGGCCCACCCCCAGCCCAGCCTGTGGGCACCGGGAGGTCCACTGATGAGCGAGGGCCGTATTTCTCAGTGTGTTGCGGTGACTCGAGCCCCTTGGGGCTCCCAATAGCTGGAAGAGCTGCTTTCCAAACAACGTGAAATTCTCTCCTCCGTGAAAGAGATCCGGAGCCTGAGTGGTGCTGACAGGGAACGAGCTGGTGGGCATAAGGCGGGTGCTGTGGGGCTGGGGAGGGCCGGCGGCGGGCACACCTCAGCCAGCCTGCACCGAGGGCCCTCCCCGTGCCCGGCAGAGGAGGGAAGCCAGTCTCTGCCTTTAGAGGGACAAAGAAGATGAGGTGATATGGGTTTGGGGTCCGTATCTGGGGCCATTGAGTGAAGATAAAGGGCGCCTCCCTTCCAGTTCTCTTGAGATAAGTAAATACGGAGTGGACACTCCCATCCCAGAGTTAATGGAACGAAAGTAAAGCGACATTTTTGAACTGACATGCCGGTAATTGCACGGAGTCCCTCCCGGGGTCACAGCCCCCCATTGTGGACGTTGTTCCCTACACCCACGTGGCTCAAGAGACACAAGGCGTCCAGCGCCCTTCCCCGGAGCCTGAGCTGGAAGTTGTGTCCATCCTTCCAACCTATGCTGGGGTCTTCACCTTCACCTGCAACCTTGCCGCTGCGGCGGGTCTGCCTGCCCCACCCCCCCCAGGGGCCTTTAAATCTAGCGGTTCCCGTACTTTACAGCTTTCGAGGGACAGAGGGGAGGAAGGCGTCCGGGTTTGTTCTCTGAGGCAAGCCCTTCTCATTTTGTTTCGCCCACCCTCTCTTCCCACCGCTTTCCCTCTGGATTGTTCCTTGCTGCCGGGAGAGTCCTCCCGCGTCCCAGGTAGTTCGCTTCCTTCCCGCATCCACAGTACGCTGCTGGAGTCGAGCCCAGCCAGCCAGATGGAGAGGAGGCTTCTCCTGGTGCTTCCACTGGAGCCAGGGAGGAGCACCTCCCCTACACCCACCACGGGGGCCTTTAAGTTCAGCTGAACGTTCTGACTCACGAGGCCACCACAGGCCATGAGGCATCAGGTTCCCTTTGGAGGATTTAGGGCTGAAACAGCTGCGGCCGAGCCAGGCTTGCAGCCAGAGTCCCGGCCACGCTCCACAGAGCTTTCCAAAAGCCACCCTGCGTGGTTCCCCAGGTGACAACTCAGGGGAGAGGAACCAAGGCCGTGGTTGGACAGGTGTGGGTGGTGCCCTGGCCGGGGAGCCTTGCCCGGTCTCTCTCTCCCTTTTCAATCTAACAGTAACATTTGTTTTGTAAAACTTAGTAGTCTATAAACAACATGTTGTTAAATATCGACACCTTTATTTCCAAATTACTTCCTTTTTTTAAAGATTTTATTTATTTATTTGAGAGAAAGAGAGAGAGAGAGCATTAGAGGGGGGAGGGTCAGAGGGAGAAGCAGACTCCCCGCCAAGCAGGGAGCCCGATGCGGGACTCGATCCCAGGACTCCAGGATCATGACCTGAGCCAAAGGCAGTCGCTCAACCAACTGAGCCACCCAGGCGCCCCCCACATTACTTCCTTTTAAAAGAGATGATGGCAGTCTCTTCAGGCAACTCCATAGACGGGACTTGCCGGGTTCCCGTGGGAAACGTGCCCGGTTACGAGGGTCACTGCACTCAGAGGATCCTACGGCACAACCTCTCCCCCAGGGAAAGACACAAATTAGGCACAGTTCCTCCCCGTTTAGATGCCATTTGCTAATAAGGGGTCACCTTCATTCAAAGCGATGTTCTCGGTAACACGGTGTATTATATAATACCCTCCTTCTCAGGTTTCTGGGGGAACAGAGCTAGAACATGAACTGAGAGTCAGATTCTCACGTGGGAGGGGAGGGGGCCGTGTTCACTCTAGGAGCACTGCTTTCCAGAGGAAAGAATGTCTTGGATGACAAGCACTCTGGGCAAATCATCCCCTAACGCTGGGTCCTGGAACATCTTCAGGAATCATCTGGTCTACCCTCCCTTTTATAAGTGGAGAAACTGACCCCAGAGGAAGGACATGGCTGGTTCACAGACGTGTGAGGAACTGAGACAGTCGTGGGACTGGACCCCAGGGCTCCTGGCGCCTACGTCAGGGGAGTCCTTGTTCTCCAGGGCCTCATGCTAGTAGGGAGAGGGCAGGAGCCGTGAAGGTGCGGGAGGCCCCCCAGGGCCGTGCGGCAGTCCCTGCATGCTGAGGTGGGGGTAGAGGCAGTGACATCTCTCTGTCCTTGGCAGCGGCAGCCCAGTGCCCTGACCGGAGCCCCGAGCTGCAGCCCTGGAACCCTGGCCACGACCCGGACCACTATGTGTACATCGGCCGGGGCAGGACCCTGCTGCTCACCTCGTCTGCCACGGTGAACTCCATCCACGTCTCAGAGGGAGGTAAGCTGGTCCCCCCCTCCTCTCTCCCCTCCCTCCACTGCCTTGGAGCCCAGCAGGTGGGTGCCGGCTGCCATAGCTCCAGATGGGCAGAACGAAGGTCATGTGCTCTGGGTCCAGGTGGGAGCATCCGGTCCGTGGTGATGCCTGTAGCTCTGGGCGCCTGGGAGCGGGTGTCCCAGGTCCAGTCTCGGTGAAAGAAGCGTTTATAGAAGGAGAGTCTTGCTGGTGGTGGGAGCATTCCTGCGCATCACGCCTTCAGATGCTTGCTCACTGAAGGCCGTGCAAACCAGCAGGCAGCGTTCACACGTGGCCAGGCCGGGAGGAGACGGGGTGGGGCGGGGAGCCACGTGGGAGCACGGCAAGTGTGGGAGAGCTGAGGAGATGGGCCTTCTTGCCCATCTGGATGCGGGGGGGGAGGAGGCTTAGCGGTTCTGCCCTTGCCCCGGCTGTGACCTCACCACGACCACATGTGTTCCTGTGTCCTCAGGAAAGCTAGTCATTAAAGACCACGAGGAGACCATTGTTCTGCGTGCCCGGCACATCCTGATTGACGATGGTGGAGAGCTGCATGCCGGGAGTGCCCTCTGCCCGTACCAGGGCAATTTCAGCATCGTTCTGTACGGAAGGTGGGCGACGGGCTCCCGGGGGCCAAATGCTACACTGGGATCTGATGGGAAGGAGGCTTTCCACAGGGGAGAGGGAGACAGGATAGCAAGGCTTTCGTGCAAGGTGGGGATTACCCTTATAGATGGCCATCGGGCAACCATGAGCAGGACAGATGGCAGTGGTCGGGGCGAGCCGGGACAGTCTACTAGGGGTTTTGATTCTTGTGGCCCGGGTCCACGCATGAGTTATGAGAGTCCCCACCAGAGTATCCTCTGTCTTTCGATCCTGTCACGGCTCAGGGAGCTTCTGGGAGTGTTGATTCGGTCGGTCATGATGGACAGGGTAAAGAAAACCTCCCTGTGGTATTGGCCTCGGGCTGTGCTCTCTCTTTGAAGAGTTGAGGTTCTCAGGAGTGGTAGCCAAGAATATTCGAGAGTCTGTAGTACCTGGCTCCATGGTTCCACCTCTGGTGGGACCAGAATGTAAAACTCTTAGTGCTGAGCACCAACATGTAAACTAGTGATGAGTATTTTTGCTAGGCATTTTGGCCCCATTTTGGTCTGGCTTAGGGCGATCTGGTGGGTGACGCTGTCTCTGCTGGGCTCGGGCAGCTGCCACGTGTGCCTGCTTCTATGGCGGCCGCCGTGGGAGCAGCGTGGTCCCCTCTGGGCTCAGCATCCAGTAAAGAGATGGGTTGACTGACTCTGGGGAGCTGTTTTCTCTCATAGGGCTGATGAAGGTGTTCAGCCAGACCCTTACTTTGGCCTGAAGTACATCGGGGTTGGCCCAGGAGGCACGCTTGAGTTACACGGACAGAAAAAGCTCTCTTGGACATTTCTGAACAAGACCCTTCACCCAGGCGGCATGGAGGAGGGAGGCTATTTTTTTGAAAGGAGCTGGGGTCACCGTGGAGTCATTGTTCACGTCATTGACCCCAAATCAGCGACAGTCATCCATTCGGATCGGTAAGGTCTGCCTTCACTTAAACACATAGCCCTTTGCTCCAGAGACACCGATGGAACCCGTGCCCCAGCCAGATGTGGCTCTGGGAGCTGGGATGCAGCAGTGAGCCAAACAGACAGAAAGCCCCCGCCGGGAGGAGTTCTGTCTCTCCCACCCTAGGCATTTGCATCGAAACTGAATTAACAGGGATGAGCAGACAGGCACACATGTATGCACAACATCATTTCAGATCGTCCTAATTAGGGGGAAACGACATAATGAAGTGGTGGAGGCTAACTAGGGAAGCCCGTTTTGCATCAACAGGTTAGGGAAGGCTGGTGTACAGAAGCAACATTTGAGCTGAGAACTGCAGGGCGAAGATGAGTCAGGGAGAGAGTGTTCCAGATGGCAAAAGCAGCAAGTGCAAAGGGCCAGTGGTGCAGGGGCGTGATGGTCTGAAGCACAGAAGGGCCTGCAGAGAGGTGGGGACCCAGAGCAACAGCAACGTGGCACAGTGATGTCCAGGTTTTTGGCAGGGGCAGGTGCACTATCATTAGACTATGGGCAAAACGTCCTGTTAACCACTTTTCTGGCCATCTGTAATTTACCTTCATGACCCCCTGTGTGTGGGTTCTGGGATTATCCACGTCATACAGAGAAAAACACTGAGGTTCAGGGAAATCCATTTACTCTGAGTCATAAGGCCAGAAAGTGTCGGAGCTCCAGCTCACACCCAGATCTGCCCAGACAGACCCTTAACCCGTATTCCTTCTGGGCACCTGCCTTGGCCTGGGGCTGAGCGATGCCCAGCGCACAGGTAACGTGGGAAGCCAGGATGAGCCTGATAGACACAAAGTCCGTCCGTCCAAGAGCCTTCCCTTTACACGCGGCCTGCTGGCCCCTTGGCGCTGCCTCTGGAATCAGTACAGTTTGGTCCGTCGCGGCGAGCCAGCCTCCGGCCTCGCGCCTTATTGAGCTGCAGGAAGAGAAGTCATCCCGACAGCTGGTGTGCAGGTTCCAAAGACGGGACAGTTGCTCCTTCCAAATCTCCTTTGGTGAAAGCGTGTGTCTGGGGCCTCGAGAACCTGCTAGGGGAATGCGTGTGCGTAGAGTTAATAAACACTACACACACATGCACACAGGTGCAGGCTGAATCTCCTGAAAGGGTTACCTGGAGGATTGAGGATGTAGGCCGGCCCTTAGAAGGTAGTAAGCATGTGATCAGGCAGAGAAAGGCAAAGAAGGATGCGTGAAGACATGTGGTGTGAGTGTGGTCATAGCACGGAGATGGAGACACGCTGGTCTCGCAGCAGGTAGCTCCTGGGGGATGGGCGGCAGGAAGGATGAGGGGCCTTGGCCGGGACATGCCAGCTTGTGCAAACACCTGCAAACCAGTCTTAGGATTCAGGAGCACCTTTCCCGCCCCTCCCACCCCACCCCCACCCCCCGTACCACCACTGTTTTTCTTTCCCCAAATCTTGGCCATTCATGCTGGTTTATTCTTCTAGATCTGTTTTAGAACGATTTTCCTTAAGCCCCAAGACAAATTCTTTCGGAATTTCCATTATAATTATACCAGATCTTTAGAGTCACATGGGGGGTAGCTGGGGATCATTACAAAATTGTGTCTTTTCTTTGTAAATGCTCATCCCGGGTGGTGTAGATTTTTGTTTGAAATCATGTGTCGTGGGGGTATTCTCTGTGTGTGAGAGGGGCTTACCTTTGTCGAATTTGGGAAGGTCGGTTTTTGCTGTCACGAAAGCTCCGTTCTTTAAAACTCACAGCCCTTGGGGACTTTGGATGGCACAATCATTGTTGCAATGCACACATGGGCTTAGACCTCCTTTTTTTGGGGGGCTGCTGTCAGAACTGTTAAAATCCACCCCCTCTGCCCTTTTTAGGTTTGACACCTATAGATCCAAGAAAGAGAGCGAACGTCTGGTCCAGTACTTGAATGCGGTGCCCGTGGGTAGGATCCTTTCTGTGGCAGTGAACGATGAGGGGTCTCGGAACCTGGACGACGCGGCCAGAAAGGCCATGACCAAACTGGGCAGCAAGCACTTCCTACACCTTGGATTCAGGTACCCCCGTCACTCCCGCCCCCACCAGACTCCAGGACCCCAAAGCCCCCCTGGGCCATGCAGGTTACCTTAGTGTCTGTTTCTTGCCCGTGGCACACCCCGCTCAGTGCCGGCCTGGGGAGTGGTGGGCAAACGCCCGTCCGCACTGGGTGTATCTGGGAGCTCGGATTTTCTTACAAAGCGTATTCCACTCTGAAAACACAAAAGCTCTCTGTTTGCATGAACTCATTCATTCATTCAGCCGCTTACAAAATGTCAGCTGGACATCTGCTGTGTGTAAGCCATGCCTCAGATTCACAGCTAGCTTCGTTTGCCCATTCTTTGGCAAAAGGGGTCATCTTGTGCCTGGGGGACGGGCAGACATTGGTTTAGAGATCCTACAAGGTGTCTGCCCAGCCCAGCACCCAGGGAGAAGGGCCTCTGATGTGCCCGCTGTGTTTGGTTTGTCTCGGATTAGAGCTTCATGCCTGACTTTGGTGTGCACACACCTTGGCACCAACAGGAAACTGTTTGCCCCACAGTGGCCACACCTTTTTATCATGTTGAACCAGATCTCAGCTCAGGGGAAGGTCGAGGTCCTCTGGCCTGTGGCTGTTGGAAGATCGTGGGGCCCCTCCCTTCCGCTCCGCAGAAGCCCAGGCAGGGTTGGGGGCCAGAAGAGCCTCCCCTGGGCAAGGGAGGGGGGAGGCCGGGGGTTGCTCCGGGTTCCAGAGTGTGTTCTCTGACAGCCCAGGGGCTGCTCATTTTGGACGGGTCTGGACAGGGAGCTCAAGGAGTCAAAGATGGCAAAAGGACACCTTGGTATCTCTAGGCTCCTTTGTTAGCAAAAGCGGAGGGGGCTTCTGTTTCCTGGTTTTGTAAACCGGAAGGCCAGTTTATCGATTTACAATGGCAGCGAGAACCACCAGGGGACTGGCTGCTTAGGGCCTCAGCAGAAGAAGGTAATGGCTAAGGGCCCGCGACGCGGCCCGCATTTGCACCTCCTGTAGGTGTGCCTGCAGGGAGGGGGCTCATTTGCTCTGCACAGTCCCTGCATCTGTACAGCAAAGTACACCAGGAGCAGTGGGAGGGGATCAGATGCGATAATAAGTAGCAAAATATCTGCCCTCCCATCTGGCACAGAATCAGGATTCAATACACGTTAGCAACTGTTTTCTCCTGAGAAGCAATGGCCACGGGGAGGATGGATGCTTGCCCTGTGTTGTCACAACCGCTCCCCCGAGGGCAGGACACGGGCAGGCAGGAATTACACTCTGAGCCCTCGTTCGTACAGACACACGTTGAGGGACAAACTCAAAGCATCTAAAATCAGCAGAAGAACTGAGTTGTGTGGCGGCCCGTGGGTGTTGGCACGAGACTCTGGGCCAGACGAGGCGTGCTGAGCTCTCGTGGGCAGGCGGGAACCAAAAGAGAAGTGATGAGGAGGCGTGAGCAAGAGGGTGGGCGAAGGGCTCAAGGCGCAGAGCTGCAGGTGAGGATGAAGGCAAGCGGGCTCCCCGCAAGAGACCGCAGGTACCGAGGCCCGGGCTGAGCGCGAGTCTCTCCTGAAGGCGGGAGGAGCACAGGCAGCGGAAGGGGGCTCTAGGAAGAGGGCAGAGACAAGCTGAGGAGGTGGGCACAGGAAGATAGTTTGCTCTGCGCCCAGGAGCTTGGCTTTCATGCAAAGGGTACTGGGGAGCCATTGATGGATCTTAAGCAAGAGAGTGACCCGATCAAATCCCCAACTTCAGGAAAGATTTGCTTTCCAAAATGAAAGATCAAAACAAAAAATAACAAAAGCTCTTGAGTACCGCCATGTCCTGCCAGAGTGGGGTTGAAGAGGTTCATGGGGATCAAACATCAGGCGAGGAAGCACAGCGCTTGCAAAGACAGGCTCTTGTGGTCCGGGACAAGGGAAGCCCGGCCGACGAGCTGATCTGCCGGGAGCAGTGGGGAGGGCTGCTAGATCGGCCGGCTCTGTCTCAGCTCTGCCTCGGGGACAGGCTCAGACGTGTGAAGAACTTTACTTTTTGTTGTTGCTTTTACCAGACACCCTTGGAGCTTCCTAACTGTGAAAGGAAATCCCTCTTCTTCAGTGGAAGACCATATTGAATATCACGGTAATGAATAGAGGGAGAGAGGCTGAATCCCCTCCGTGCCTCTCTGACCAAGAGGCCCGGGTCTTTCTGAACCACCGTCTTCCCTCAGAACATGGCGGAACCGCCTCCCAACACCCATGTTCATTGGCCGTGTTACGCGCAAGTGGCAAAAGCCTATCACTAAGATAATATTTACATTTGCAAAGAGATCACCCCTGACTTAATTCAAAACAAGGGACCTAGGACAAGCAAGAACCAGGACAGATCCAGCAGGGGGAATATTTTGAGCTAAAAAGATACTTTGGATAGGTCTTTACCACCTAGCAGAAGGCCCTGCTGGTTCTATTCCTAGACAGGAATTCACGGGAGAAATTGGGGCTCCAAAAAAATACAGATTTTAATTAAATTTTTAAAACTGAAGCAGAAGAAGGGACAATAGATAATCTACTTCCCGAGTAGAGAGATTGGCCTGAAAGGTTTTTTCGTTGTTGTTTTTTAAAGAAAGAGTTCAAGATCTATGTGTTTAGGGGGTTTGCTCTGTGTTAGAAATGCATTCTTTGGAATGTGGGGGGGCGGTGCGGTCGCTGACACCCCTGCTCTCTCCACAGGACACCGTGGCTCCGCGGCTGCCCGGGTGTCCAAAGTGTTCCAGACGGAGCACGGCGAGCATTTCAACGTCTCTTCCTCCAGCGAGTGGGTTCAAGGTGAGGGGTCCGGGACAGCCAGGAAAACCCAACAGTGGGAGAGAAGGGCAGGACGTTCTGTCTTTGCAAAACAAGGATTTTTCTCTTGCGCCAATAAGACCACTTGGCTATTGCAGAGTAAACTAAATTTGCAAGGGAAAGCTTTCTCTAATTAATCAGTCCCCGGCAGCCAACAGCCCAGAGGATGTTGTCCTCCCGTCTCGGAATCCTCTCTGTGCCGAGCGGTGGTGCTGTGGACAGGAAACAGGCAGGAGCAGGACCGGCCTTCATGAGGCCACACGGGGGGCTGGGGTGCGGAGAGCAATGGCCTCCCTGCAGGCCTCGAGAAACAGGCTGGCCTTAGCTTTCATCGTCATCCTTTCTGCGGTAACGAAGAATATGTATTCTGTTGTTTTCGGCAAGTGAGAAAGTCAGTAAGAGGCGCTTTTAATGAAAAAGTGGGAGACTTGGCAGAGTGCTTGGGCGCACAGCCGGACGCACGGTGTTCGATTCCTGTTGCGCCAAGGGTGCTGGGGGCCACGCTGCGGGGGAACGTGCCCTCCCGCGCCCTTCCCGCCTCACCCTGCTCTTTGCTTTCTGTCTAGATGTGGAGTGGACAGAGTGGTTCAACCATGACAAAGTGTCACACACTCAAGGTGGGGAGAAAATTTCAGACCTCCGGGTAGCTCACCCAGGAAAAATCTGCAACCGCCCCGTTGATATACAGGTACCAAACGCAAAGCAATCGAAGAGTTATATAAGGACTTTATTTTGAAGTGGAGTCTGTAGATGACAAACTTCCTTGCCGTGGGGGTGGTGTGATTCTCACGGCACTCCCGGGACACGGGTAAGCCAGGAAGACCCGTTCCTGTTTTAGGGGCTCTTCTCTGCTCCAGGCCTCCTGGGCAGTGAGTTCCCCAGCGAGGACCCAGCATTGTCTCCTGGAATCTACTCCCCACCTCCCTTGCCTCCTCCTAAAGCTGCTTCCACAGCCGTGGCTGACGGTGCCCTGGCGTGGGGACGGGTTGTCTCCTTCAGCCTCCCTTCTCAGTAGATTTCCTTTGGGCCCTTGAGTGCACAGGATCCGGATGGGATTTGGGGTGCCGGCTGAGCTCAGCCCACAGCCCCACAGCCTGGTTCTCCACTGAGCAAAACAAACACCAGCATTGGTAGAGAATGGACCATGTTGGCTCAGGATCTTTGCTTGCAGTTGCTCCTCCAAAAAGGGACCCCGACTTTCTCAGTTGGCTCCGCCGGGACAGTGCCAAGTACACACACAGCCCTCACAGCCCACCAGCTTCGCAGGCAGACCGTTCTCACGCGGCTAAGGCCCTCCCCTCACATGGGTGCAACGTCCTCGAGAAGGATCGCCCCGGAGTGAGTCGCAGGTCGCAGGCTGTAGGCTCCCCTTGGGTCCAACAGAATCAAAAGGCACTGACGCCCCCGAAGGGCACCCTCCCCAGGTTTAATTCTAACTTTCTCTTGCAGCCCTAAAGATTCCAGCCTCAGTTCTGAAATAGCCATCATCTTATTCCTTCAGTTCACTTGGCTGTGGCAAGTCCGGCCCTTTGCCAGGGTCCCCTCCCCAGGTATTTCTGGAAATCCTCCAGGAATGCTTACGTGGTCTACGGATGCCTCCCGGTGTCAGCTCTGCCGGCCGTCGGGCTCCACGCTGCGGCGTCTAGGAGGCCATGTCTCTGTGGCAGTTTCCCTTCGGCATTGCCCTTTCTCCCCGTACCTCTGTTCCTGGCATGGACACAGGCTCCTGCCTATGTCCAAGCACAGCTAATGCCAGGCTAAAGGATTAAATAAAACTGTACTGAAGGCTTGGAGGCAAGAAAGCAGGGACAAGCATACATATATGTATCAAATATAAAATAGCGTAGGGCACGACCGCTCCCTGGCCCCATTATCCAAGACCCTCCAAGGGAGCCAACCCCATACACTATAACCCCTAGGCGGTCACTGCATTCCAACGCCCAGCTTGCTTCCAACAAAAGGAGTATCCTTGACAATGAATTCCTGGAGTTCCAGTTCTCAACTATTGGAGGTCTGGCAAAGAATAAAAGATCCAACCATAGCCCCTCCCCGCCACCCCGCCCCAAGGCTGGGACCAGCCTTCTCACAAAAATGCATTCCTTGATAATATTTTGCTGAGCATGGTAGACCCTTGTTGATTCAAAACTCTCAGTTCCAGAATGGGATGTTGGTTTTTTCTTGGCAAAACAAAGGCCCACAGAAGCAGTTGAGGGTTAGGGTGCAATAGTTAAGGTGACCCTTTCTCCCAGCCGCTGGCCCTGTGCTCCCACGCCCCTGAGGTGAGCGCCACCTTAAATCTTGCAGCCCACACTCCAGTCCTGGCTGGAGACCTCGGTCAAGTTACTCAGGGTCCCAAGCTCCTCTTAGGCAACAACGAGGATCCTCGGGGTTTCCCTGTGGGATTATTTTGTGGATGTCATGTAACAATATATGAAGGGCCCACACATTTTTTACTATTTTACAATCATTATCCTAATCATATTATTATTTTGTACTTATTAATTATCAAAAATCGTAATAGAATTGTGTCTACTTAAGGTGGAGACCAGTTTCCCTGAACAGTGATAGAGCCCTTTCTTGTTCTTCTTATCCCAAACTGAGGTCATTCTTCAGGTTTAGAGAAAGGGGGGGTGTGGAGGAAAAAGCAGAGTTGAATAGATGCCCCCCCAAGAGTAGTGTGGGACACTGTGCTTTGGAAAATGTGCAGTTCTAATCACTGATGTTTTCAGGCTCAGTTCTCAATGTTATGGGGTCTCCTGCAGAAGAACGCGCTGGCCTCCACAGAAAACAATGGGAGCTCAGAGGAGCTGAGCTTGTCATGTCAGCGACTTTGACCTTGCTTCTTAAAACCCTCTGAGCCTTAGCTTTTTCCCAAGGGCAGGTCTGCAACTCCTGCTTCTCCCAGGGCTCTGGAGGCCACCAAGATAATGGCCGTGAGCATGACTCTTGCAGGAAAGGGCTGGATTGTCATGATGACTGAGCTCACTGCCATACAGCTCTTCTTTGAAGCCAAAGACAACAGATACCTGCTGTGTTCAAAATAATGTTTCCTGAAAAGCTCCCCCCCCCGCCCTCTTTTTTAATAGGTTGACTATATTTTGCCCCCCTATTTCCCCGGCCCTGGTCCCTGTGGTCTCTGTGCCCAAGAGGACAACAGCTCAGCCTGGATGTAAATTGCTTGTCTCTGACGACAGCCAAGGGCTTGCTGCAGACACACCCAGGCTCTGGGATGAGCCCCAGCGGGCAGCGATCGCCGCCTCCTTGGGGCCCGCTCCCTAAATTCTCTACCTGGCCTTGAGGCTGCTCACCCATCGGCCCCTACCACCAAGAGCCCACTCCGTGCCAAGCCCTGGGCTGGAAGCTGGGATCAGGGAGACAGGCGGAAACCGGTCCTTGCCCTCCCCGGAGCCCAGGATCCCGGGGGAGGAGACAGACGTTGAACAGAGGACTATAGGCTGCATGCCTGAGGGCCACAGGGGGAGGTGCTGAGCAGCACCAGCTCTGTGGTTGGCTGAGTCTGGATTCGAATTTTGGCTCTGCTGTTTACAGGCTTGGTTGACCCTGGGCAAGTGACTCACCCCCTGAGGGTCAGTTTCCTTATCTGTCAAGCCTGCGACCTCATTGTTCCTGTGAAGCTGGGATGAGATCATATCCGTAGCACTTCGCCCTGTGACTGCTCTGATGCCCCAAGCCACACCTGGACACACCAAATCTGAGCCCTAGAGGATGGGGCCTGGGCATGAGTATTTTTAAGGGCTCCCCACGTGACGTGGACCCGCGCCAGGACACCAGTTGATTGAACATAGCGGGTCCTCTGTAAATACCGGCCTCCGTTCCCAGTGGCAGGGGTGGTGGTAGGAGTTGCCGTCCATCAGTGGTTTGGGTATGGGGGACCACCCGGGGACCCCGGCGAGGCATTTCTCCATCCTGTGGCTTTGCATTGTTTTCCTTAGAGCAAAACTGTTTTCTTAGAACAAAAGTGATGCTCGATTGTTTAGTGATCATCTTGGGCCTGAGGAAATCGTTTTTGCAACAGGGATAAGTTTAGACTTGTGAGTGGATGTTGATACCATTAATCATCAACTTCTTTCTTTACACACACCAAAATGATTTTGCTCTATAATTTCCGTGCCATTTCCAGGCCACGACAGTGGATGGAGTTAACCTCACCACCGAGGTTGTCTACAAAAAAGGCCAGGATTATAGGTTTGTGTGCTACGAGCGGGGCCGAGCCTGCCAGACCTACCGTGTGCGGTTCCTTTGTGGGAAGCCTGGTAAGCAGCTGCTTGTCGGGGACACAAATGCAGCCGTGGCTCATTCCTTGAGCTGGCAGATATGCACTGTGAGTTTGGATGCGGCTGGGTCAGCTGTCCCCGGACAGCTCAGTGACCGGGTGCTTCTGCCAAGCTCGCAGTGGAGAGCCCTTCTGGGACCCAGGAGCCGTGGGACGGTCCTCGGAGTTGGCAGGAGCCGGCCGAGCCCCACCCTGCCCATATGCCTTTGAGGAAGGGAAAGGTCCGGCCCAGGAAAACGAGGGTGCCGTGGCCAGAGCTGACCTTCTTGCAGCCCTCCCCTGCAGAGACATGAGCTCGTGGCTTCTGGGTGCTATTATTTTAAACCCGGGTCCCAAGGTGCTCGTTAGAAGGGATGGGAAATGGTCGGGTTTTTCGCCGAGGCACTTGGCCTTCTCCAGAAGGCGGTCATTCTGGATGAGAGCTCTTTGGGGGAAGGGCTTACAGCTACTGTAAATAATAGTTGAGAGGGACTATATTTGTTTTACATCTTGAGCAAAGTGGGTGTGGTGAGGCAGCCACATTTAACTCTAGCGAAGGAGTTGGTGGAAAATTCCCCTGCCCAGAGCTAATGAATGGCTCTTTTTTGGTGGGGTTTTGTTGACTTCAAAAACCTGCACCAAGACTGAGATGGGCTGAGCCTGGTGATTTGGGTTTGGATAGGCAAACCTGGCATTTATCTGGGGAGGGAAAGGGAAGAGGCGGGTGGTCAAAAATTGGCCAAGAATGCAGGGTTATAGCTCAGGCCCTCCTCTCTGGGGTTACAGTGAGGCCCAAACTCACCGTCACCATCAACACCAACGTGAACAGCACCATCCTGACCCTGGAGGACGATGTTCGGTCATGGAAGCCCGGAGACACGCTGGTTGTTGCCAGTACTGATTACTCCATGTACCAGGCAGAAGAATTCCAGGTGCTTCCCTGCAAAGCCTGTGCCGCCAACCAGGTCAGAGTGGCAGGTAAGACTTCCACTAAGCCCGCCCTAGGCTGCACGAATCTGTTGTCTGAAATCACAAGTTTGTATTAGTCAGCTATTGCAATAATGCTGCGTAACGAAACAGACCTCAAACTCTCATGGCAAACACTTCTCACTCGTGCACCTGCAGCTGGTCGAGGGTCCAGCTTCTCTAGACTGAGCTTGGCCCCAGGATGACAGCTGGGTTCAGATCAGCTCCATGGGACTCTCACTCTTCTCAGGACCTATTCTTCCTGTGGGGGAGGTAGAAAGTTCTCAGGAACAGAAACACAGAGGACTCAGGGCCTGGGCTCAGGACTAGCATGCTCTCACACCCACATTCCACTGGACAAAGCAAATAATGTGGTTAGGCTTAGCACGCATGGGGTCGGTCAGCCTATTTGTCCCATCAAGGTTGAGGGAAGGGAGTGAATATTTGTTAGGCAATAATGCAATCTACCAGGAAATTTTAAATCTCTTCTTTCTACAGCTTTGGAGTCTTCCTTTTTCTTCTCCTAAGTGTTGACTTAGTGGTACTGCAATTTATATTATGCGAGGTTCCTGGACTCTCAGATTGTTGGGATTAAAAGTATAATCCAGGTCCATGTTTATTAGTGGAGAGAGTTATATACGCATGAGGGTTCTTTGGTTATAAGCAATGGAATCCAACTTGACTATCGTAAGCAAAAGAGGAATTTGTCAGGAGGCCACTGAGCTTCAAGAAGCGATGTACCCAGGTGCACAAGGACTTTGGGGGTCTGGGTAGTGGGAGTGAGTGTGCAGTGTTCTCGGGGCATCGCTGTCCCAAAGCACCATGCGAGGTCCCTGGGACATAGTGCTCATGCCACCTTCCAGGGAGACCGCGTCCTATTGGGCTGGGGGCTCAGGTGCCCCGCCCTCTGGCGGTGCACATTCACCAGCATCCCTCTGGGCTTCCTGAATGGAGAAAGGGTCCCTCCCCCAAGGCAAACTGCGGAAGAAAATGGCCAGAAGAAAGAAGAGTCGATCATGGGCATCATAACTACCAGGCGCTACAGGACCATGGCACCTGGAGAAGGTCTAGGATTGAGGGAAAGTGGAGGAAGACAGATGGAGAAAACGTAGCCTATGTATTCAAATTACCTATTGCTTTAGAAATAAGACTGTAGAAAGTTAAACAATCTTTTTGGCTGGTGGGAATGTGCTTGGGATGGAATCTGGGGGGACAAAGGTTTAAACACCAGAGCAACGGCAGGATAGCCCAATTCCCTTGTCCCACTCTCGGGGGGGCCGCGGGCCCTGGAGGCTGCCCCCAAGGTCTGCAGCCATGGTCGTGGGGGGCGGGGCAGAGCCTTCGAACGGAAGGCCGTGGGTGCCCCGGGGCAGACGGGGGTTTGCTGAGTGTGGCTGGACACACATCTGTGCTTGACAAGTTAACAGAATCTGCCCTTTTAAATAATCATTTGTTCAAACCCCTACGTTCTTTGAATAAAGGTTTGGGGAATAAACACAAGTCCAATTAAATCTTCATCCCGGAGAGAGAGGAAAAAAAAAAGGGAAAGATACATGTCAAAGTAATAACTTCTGGTGCGAGGAGAATAAATTCAACAAAAAGGGAGGGATCGAAGTTAGCGAAAGCTACTGAAATAGACCATAAATTTGTCTCTGAGCTTCCTGGCTGTGAGAGCAGAGAAAAAAAGGTCACAGATTCCTTACTATTGTCCAATAAAAAGGAGGAGACCAGAGGCCCAGAGGGACCACTTCCCCGAGGCCCTGAGCTACGGGGGGATTCAGCTCAGCGTCTGCGCGCTGTGAGGTCGGACTCCTCATACCAGATCGCGGCCTGCTGTGGGTCTCGTTTCCTGAAGGCGTTTTAGGGGAGGCTCCTGCCATCCTTCTTTCTCTTCTTTCCTACACCCCTCCCTCCCTCCCTCCTTCCTTTTCTCCTTCCCTCCCTTCCAGTTCTTTCTCTCTTTGGTAGAGCACGGGGATTGGAATTGCAGAAATGCGGTTCCCAGCCGAGTGACCTTAGACAAATACTTAACTTCCCTGTGCCTCAGTTTCCTCGTTGGTAAAACAGACACAGTGATCGTAAATCATACCTGCTTCCCGGGCTTGTGAGGATTGGCGGATCGAATCGTTCAGTGTCTGGTAGGCAGTAAGGGCTCTGTGAATGTCAGCTACCGTTACTGGGCAGGACGCGTGCAATCACGTAGCACCGAAGCTTGAGGACGGACAGGAATGGTGCCTGTGTGTCAGTTCTGTAGGTAAAGACATGCTCGTAGAGGGAGAAAAGCAAACGGATGTGCATCGTTCTCAGCAGCCCCCAGCTGAGGTCCGTCACAGGTTCTGTTCTGAGTGTCCGGATGTCCCGGGCGTGGAGGCGGGAGGCTCTGTGAGCGCAGGTGCCCCCAACGCGTCCTTCCTCCCCCAGGCTGGGCACCCCGCCCCCTTCACGAGGACACACAGGGAGGTGGGAAGGAGCGCATCAACACCCAGAGGGCGCCCTCGGGGGGGCTGACCAGGGGTCGGGTGTCCTGGACTGTCGGAGGGGGACGGCACAGTGCAGGGCAGCGTGCTGGGGACAGCATGCCGCAGAAGAGGACCGGAGCAGCGGGGTGAGGCGTAGCGGGGTAGAAGGGCGGCGTGGGGCTGGGGGGCAGGGGGCGCCACGGGGACCAGCTTCCCTCCGAGTGTGTCGGCCTGTTGCATTTCCCCTGGTGGGGAAAGGTTCCCCGGGCCCCCCGTTTGCAGGAGACTGCCGAGTGATGCTCGTGCCCTGTATTAGACCCATGGCCTTCGCTGCGTGATTCCTGTGTCCCCCGGGCTGGTACGTGTGCACAGCCCTCCCGGGACATCAGGTGTCCTCCTGGACTCTGACGGGAGCGGCATTCAGACGGTGTGAGCTGATGCTCGCTGCTCAGTGCTGGGGTTCTGGTGGCTTCTAGGAGGGTGAAGAGCTTGCCCGCTTGGAGGTAGACACAGGAGCACCTGCAGAGGCCCCCCAGTCTGCTCAGCCCAGCCCACATCTGCACCCCTGTGCTGGGCACCCCGAGGCCTGGGAGGGGCCAGGTTTCACTTCAAGCAGCTCCCGAGAGCCGAGGGGCCCCGAGGGCGAGGGGCCAGGTGCTGTTAGGGCTGCCAGCCCCACCCAGCGGTCGGTGTGGCTGTGGGGAGGAGGCTGGAGAGTGGCCCCACTTGGCAGCGGCGGACTCACAGGCCCAGCTGCCCCCTGAGCCTTCTGAAGGCTGGACGGACAGTGGGATGGGGTTGCTCCGGGCCCTGGTGCACGGGGCGGAAAGGAGAATTGAAGACGCAGGGCCCCCCTCGGGCCCCTCCACACTCCCTCGGGGCACCCCTCCCTGGCCCGCACCCCCTGACAGTTGGGCTCGGAGTGGACCGTCCACTTTGCAGAGAGGCTTTGAGGCTTGCCTGAAAACAGCGCCCCCTGGTGGACAGCCTCTGAAAAGCTCGAGGTGGGGGGGTTGTCTGTCTATTTGTCTGTCTGTCTTGGGGAGGCTCATGTGTCTGCTTTTCAGCCCCAAGCCTGGCTCTCCATCCCCCACTGACATGAAGCAAGGGCTCCCACCTGCCGCATCTTTTCCGAAGCTGTGCCCCCCAGCGGTGACATCTTACGGTTCCCCCCAAAGGCTGGTTGCAGAGCGGGGCACGGCCTTCCCGGATCCTCCCTCCTCACTGCCCCCAAATTCCAGGAAACAGGCCTTCGTGCCTATTAAGGGTTTTCTGACAGGAAACAGATGGGGATCACCAAGTCATGAAAGCGTATGAATCATCTCAGAGAATATTCCAGAGGGTTGCTATCCGCAGGGTGGATCTCCACACCTCCTGAACCGCAGTCGGAAGCCTCCCCAGACCTTCTGCATTTGCACTCCCCCACTCCCGCTTTCCCTGGCCCCCAGCACACACCCCGCAATAACACCACGGTTAATCTCCTTAGGATGACCGTTCTTTGTTTCCTGTGACTGCCAAGCACTTTACAAAACCGTCTCGCTTGCTCTTCGTGATGCCCTAACACGGTGGCAGCCGCCGTTTCTGCGGGACACGCAGGAGGACACTCAGGTGCAGGGAAATTAAATGTGCCGAGTCTGCTCACCAGTATGGTCGCGCTGTTCAAGTCCTCCTAGCCTGCTTCCGGGGCCCGTAGCCGCAGGGGGCCGGCGGCCGGCGTACCGGACGGCACGCAGTAGAGCATCTGCAGCACCTCAGGGGTCCTAGGAGGGCGGGCTGGCGTAGACCAAGCAAGTCTGTGGGGTCGACCGGAGCCAGGATTCAAACTCCGAGCTCTCCAGCTCCCAGGCTACCTGTCCTCTGTCCTATCCCCTGGGTCTCCACTCTAGGACGATTGGCCCGTACCAGGAACCTGGGAGCTGTGTGGCTGAGACGGCCTCTCCGGGACCCTCCAGCCCGAGCCCGCCACCCCCCTCCCCCCCCACACCCCGGGCCAGTGGCCCTCCTGGATAATTTGGGACAATCTGGCTGGGCCACATCTGCTCTTCCCTGGTTGGCCCTCATGCACCAGAGCTGCGAGAAGCAAGGGAGGGAGGGAGAATCTGTAGACAGGTTGGGGTGCTGGGAAAGCAGGGCATGCGGCTCCCCCGGGGCAGCCGGCTGGGGGACAGTGGCCTGTGAACGCGGCAGCAGGACAGGTCCGTTGGCTGTGGGGTTTCGTAAAGGTCCTGCTACAGGCTCCAGAGTGCGGGGAGGAGGCGGTGGGAATTCAGCTCTCAGTCGGCCCCGCGCACTCCTGAGAGTGGATCAGTCCCTCCGTCTCCCACACCCCACGCCCCCCCATGGAGCAGCCTGGAGGTGTGAGGCAGTGGCAGGAGCCCCGGGCTCCTGTCTTCCCCGGGGACAGCACGGGGGGCACCTGCACCGGCCACTTGGGCCACACCAGTCCCTGCCACGTGCCAGGGGCTGTGTGAAGCTCATTCCCTGGATTAGTGTGGTCAGCAAGCCTGGCTACTTTTGAGACACCTGCTAGCAATAGCTCGATTTTATGGAAGGAGAGCCTGAGATCCAGGGAGCGTGAGTGATGTGTGCAGGGACTCACAGCCGTCATCTGAGTCGGGATCCAGAGCCACAGTCCTCTGCAGCCTCTCCCCTACCTCTCCCGCCATGTTCGAGGGGACCGTGGGTCCCTGCGGAAGGCCCTCTGGTCAGCGTTCTGCCTGTTCCCCATAGTTTAAGGGGGCACCGATCCCCGAAATGCACATGCTATGAGGGGCAGCTGGACATCAGGGGATGTGTGCCCGGATGGGGAGGCCTGGTGTCCTGGCCCTGCCGGCACGGTGGGGACCCCAAGAAGCAAAGCGGGAGGTGGAGGGCGGTGGGGAAGACCGCACCGGGAAGGAGCCCCAGGAGCAGGATCTGGAAGGACAAAGCCGTCTGCTGCCCAGACGAGGTGGCCCGGCCGGAGGGGCAGCTAGGCAGAAGCGCTGAGATGTAAAGTAGCAAGGCTCGTTCAGGGAGGGCTGGTGCTCTGCTCGAGCTGCAGCAGAAGTGAGTGTGGGGCGATGACGCATAAGCCCACAGAGCCTGGGGTTTTGCCCTGTCGGTCCTGCAGACTGGGAGACGGGAGCTGAGCCCCTCAAAGCTGCACGGGATCTCCTCTCCTGTGTCTTGGGCCAGCAGCACTGAGCCCGCGCTCTCTGCATAAACTCTTCCATCATGTGCTCAAGCCTCGGGGGTCCATCCCTTCGGGAAGCGTGCTCCATGCTGGGCCTCCGGGGAGCCAGCCCCTCAGGCACGTGTCCCTTGCGTTGGCTGGTTCCTGGGCACCGCTGAGCTGCCTCTGGGGCACCAGTCAGCCGGTCTTCCTTCTGCACCCCAGGAACAGTGGGAGGTGGCCTTGCTTAGTTGAGGAAGCCTTTGAAGCTTTACTGGGTGTTGCCTGCTGTCCATCAGGGTGTCCGCTCGTAAAGAAAAGAAGGTCTGCATCCAGCACACTCAGCAGCATGAGGCCAGGCAGACCAGGGGCTTTGTCATCAATTCTCCGTGTATCCATTGCTGGAAGGAGGGCGTTTAAAGCCGGTGAGCAGGGGAGTCTCCTTCCTCACCAGTGATCAGATGCTGCTCTAGGTGCAGCTTTCTTTCCGCCGCCCCCCCCCCCGGTCTGTGTCGCTCAGAACCCCACGCAAAGCTCTTTGTGCAAGACACTCTACTCCCCGCCCCCCACCTGCAAGGCCACGTATCTGTGATAGTGACGGCCACAGAGCCAATGGGCAGGAGACCAGCCAGGGATGGAGGGGGAGTCTTCCACACGGGCAGCCAGAGGGGATCCTGCATCTGGACCCTAAAACCATGAAGCCACGAGGCTCTGTGACCTGAGCCACAAGCCACAGGGGGATAAGGGAGCCAGCAGTCTGCAGAGCGAACTTGTTTCAAATGCTCCTCCGGGCAATGTCAGACTGTGGACGGAACCAGAGTCTTCACAGCCCTGCCTCCACCCCTGGCGTCCGTGCCTGGCTCTGGCTTCGGAGATCTCTGGGCCTGATAGTAAAGCATAGTGAATAGACTCTCTGTAAAACGAGTTTTCCTAATACTTTTAAAGCGGGGCTCTGTGGTACATGGAGGAACGGCCCCACAGATGCCCACGGGCTAGTGCTCTGCCCGTGAGAATGTCTGCTCGCACGGCAGAAGGGACTTGGTGGGTGTGATTGAGTTAAGGCTCAGGAGATGGGGGATTATCCTGGGTCCCCGGGGTGGGCCTAGTGTCATCACAGGTCCTTAGAGGGGGCGCAGGAGGTCAGAGTCCGAGGAGAAGGTGACGTACGACGCAGCCGGTATCGGAGTAAAGGGAGGAGGAAGGGGCCGTCAGCCAAGGAGCACAGGGGGCTGCTGGAATCTGCAACGGCCGGGACGGTTCCACCTGGCGCCTCCCGAGGGAACCAGCCCTGCCCCACCCGACCGCTGACCCGGGGCCCCGACCGCCGACCCAGGGCCCTGACCACTGACCCGGGGGCCCTGACCCTGCACTTCTGGCCTTTGAGATGTGAGGCAAGACATTTCTGCTGATTTAAGCCAGTCAATGGGTGGCAATTTGTTGTAGCAGCCCTGGGAGCTGGTGGTGATGCCAAAAGGGTATCTTGTCAGCTTTGCCCCATACCAGTTTCACGTCCTGAACTAACAGGCTTCCAGAAACTGCCATCCCCCCGACCCTGCAGAATGCCAAAGCGCAGCTCCTGAGGTCTCACAGCCCCCACAGGATGCATGCCGTGCCTCGTGAAGGAGCGGGCAGGGGTGGTCCCTGTTGGGGTGCGTCACAACCCCGGCCAGCCGTGCCGTGGGCTGACGCCTGTGTGCCGTCGCTCAAGCCAGGGCCGCAGTGAAAGCCAGGCAGCACCTGCCATGAGGTGCAGGCTGCAAATCCACACGAGAGGTCATGCTCTGGAACCATGTCCTCGAGCGGAGGAGAAAGCCCCTGCTGGCCAGGTCAGCTCCCCCAGTGACAAGCTGCGTGTAGAAGCAGGCCAAGATCTCTTTATTCCACGAAAGACTCTGGGGTTGGTGTGGGGGCGGATTGGGGACCGTGAGGCAGTCCCCGAGTTCCAAGCCCCTGTCCCCCCACACCTTCCCTGGGGTGCACCTGCCGTCCGGGGAGAAGGACGGGGCTGGAGGAGGATTAAGTGGATTTGAGCAGACCGAGGGGGCGAGGCAGGTGTGGGTCACTGGTTCAGGGACCCGAGCAGCACAAGGGGACTGACATTAGCTACCAGAGCAGCTGAGTTGGGCAGAAGGTCTTTTAATAATGTTTTAAGGATAGGAGATCTGGATGAGTTTGGAAGTAGAACACAAGGAGCCCACACGAGGGAAGAAGAGAAGTTACGGGAGTCCAGGACCCTGAGACTGTAGGAAGGGATGGGGTCAGGAGTGTGCAAGGGAGAGAGCACCCTGTCCTCGGGGCTGGCCCAGCAGGACACAGCCACATTCCGGCCCCGGGGAAGGAGCGCAAGCAGGGGCCACTCACGGCTTCCGCTCATCCTGTGACCACACCGCAGGGAGTCTGGGAAGCGCGGGTCTCCTGGGGAGCATACGTTGAGCTCAAACACAGGAGGCCCAGTACCAGCAGGCAAAAGGGGGGACCCATACTGGGGGATAGATAGCCATTTCTGCATGGGCTTCAGATGTGAGTCTGCATGGTTGTGAATCCTGGCTCTTCTTTTAGGCCAGGAACGAAGAGTCTGCGTGGGCTTCCTTCTCCTGTAACATGGGACCAGGGGAGCCCCGGGCACCACCGTGCACACGGGTGTGGTGATACGTAAGCAGCAGCGGATTTCCCACCCACCCCTTTCTGCCCTAGGGAAGCCGCTGTACCTGCACATCGGGGAGGAGATAGATGGTGTGGACATGAGGGCTGAGGTCGGGCTCCTGAGCCGGAACATCGTGGTGATGGGGGAGATGGAGGACAGATGTTATCCTTACAACAACCATGTCTGCAACTTCTTCAACTTCGACACCTTCGGGGGCCACATCAAGGTATGGGTCCGCACAGCCAGGAGCATTCTTGTGCTGCCAGCCTGGCAGACCCTGGCTGGGGAGGGCACGGGAGCAGGAAGTAGGACAAAGGGCAGGGACCTTCTGGAAGGCGAACCTCTGCTGTCCAGTGTGCTGTTCCGGCTGTCGACCCCTGGCTGGAAGACAGGAGGGGGCCAACTTGGGGATGGCCGTCCACTCCCCGGTCACACGCCACCCTGGGCTCCCTGCCTCCATGGCTTCCAGCCCCCGTCCCTGCTCTCACCCCCTTTCTCCAATGCCTCACCCCAGTCATTTCCCAGAAGAGCTGGCACTTCACCCACACAGGTCACGCTTACAATAGACCCATGAAAACCCAGACACGTGAGCAGGCAGGGGAGACGAGCTGGACGTCGGAGCGTTTACCAAGAGATGGAGGCAAAGAGGGAGCTGGCTCGCGATGGAGTTCTGCCGCCCAGGGAAGAGCGGCGGTCAGCGGTGTGCGGTCAGTGGTCCGCGGGAGCTCCCGGCCTCCTCGCATGGGGCTCACAGGGGAACGCTGTCTGCACCCCGTCTAAAGAGTCGTTACCCAGCATACTGAACGTCACGACACCCCAAAGCTGTTCGTGCGGCCGTCGCTTTCAATGACTTAGGATCGAAGCCGACAGACTATTGGTGTCTCGGAGTTTTGTGAGGGCAGGGCTCTTGAAGCCGCCACTATGTGCTATCAGGCTAAGACTTCCTGGTGCCCTAACTGAAGGAAGGAGCGGAACCTGCGGAGCGCACAGCGGGAGCCCTACTGGCGTTGGGCGGCTCCATATCACATGTGGGCTCCCAGCATCCACAGCCCCTGCTCACTCAGCAGGGCTCCCTGGTCACCATAGCCTCCAGAAGCACTCGCTCGTGTTCCCAGTCAGGCTCTGGGGGTAAGGGGGGCCAGGGCTTGTGCAGAGACTCATCAGAGAGACCAGAGCCTGTTTCCAATTCTGAGAGTGATCCCTGAGCCGTCAGGGTCCCCTTCCTGCTTTGCCCAAATGAGGCCTCAGGATGCCCCCTTCCCGAGTGGCATTCCACTTGACACCTGCTCTGGGAGGACTGTTAGCATGTCCTTAAGATCTGCCTACTCTAGGAGCAGCTGGCTGAGCCCCGCTTCTGACAAGAGACATTTCCACAGTGTGCTTTTACAGTGGGTTCTTGGAGTGTAGACATCCACGGTGGTGCACACAGAGCACCCCATGGCTCGCCCACGCTACCGGGGTCAGAGGCTGATGGAGAGTCCCGGCTCAGCATCCCCATCCTTCCACCAGGAGGGCCCGCAGACCGTGGGCAGAGCACAGGCTCCTTCTGCTCCTGGATTCCCATCCTCCTGGGGCCAGCCTCGGGCCAGCCTTGCCCCAGAATATCTTGGCGTTCCCCCTTCCTTGTGACACTCAGTGACTTAGGAGGGAGGGTGGGAGTGGAGGCCAGCCCTGGCTGTTCCAAGCAGTTCACTGTCTCGTAACATCCGTGAGTTATCCAAAGCGCCTCAGCACCTGGGTGGTGAGAGGGCCAGGGGCCTTAACCCATCTGCAGGCCATATGTTGGATTCACTGTGTGGCCGAGGCAGGGATCAGCGAGGCACTTTGCATGTTGGGACGTGGCCCTGGCGAGGGGGTCGGGGGCACCTCACACACCCTTCTGACTCTCGCCTCCCCTCTTGCAGTTCGCACTGGGCTTTAAGGCTGTGCACCTGGAGGGCGTGGAGCTGAAGCACATGGGACAGCAGCTGGTGGGGCAGTACCCCATTCACTTCCACCTGGTGGGCGACGTGGACGAGAAGGGAGGCTACGACCCGCCCACGTACGTCCGCGAGCTCTCCATCCACCACACATTTTCTCGCTGTGTCACCGTGCATGGCTCCAATGGCTTGTTGGTAAGTGCCTCCTTCCCGGGAAAGTGGAGGGCCCGTCACTGCCCCGTCCTCCAGGCCCCTTCCTCCAAACCGTCAATGCTGGACAGGTGTTTGGATCTGGACATTTAGTCTGGGGCCATTGGGGGTTGAACCATCCTTGGCCTCGAGTTTAGAATGCTGTCAGTTGAGAGCAGAAAGAGAAAACAGGGCAGGTGTGTGTTGTGCCTCTTTGGAGAGATGGGCAGACAGAGGATCTTTCCATGGCTCTGTGGCAAGACAGATCCGCTAGCACAGACAAGAGCTCTTGCCAGACTCTGCACCATTGCCTCAGACTTGCGGTGGCCGCAGGGGGCCTTTGCTCTTGCTGCACCAAACATCCTCCAGAGTGGACACTGCTGGGAGGAATGGCTTCATTCCAAGGAGGCATACATGCCAGAGGCTGGTCTGGGTTTGCACAGCTGGTTTTGACAGGAAACTGATTGTTATTTAAATAAGAACTAACTTATGGGGCGCCCAGGTGGCTTAGTCACTGGAGCATCAGACTCTCGGTTTTGGCTCAGGTCATGATCTCAGGGTCCTGGGATCGAGCCCCGTGTTGGGCGCCATGCTTAGCGGGGAAACTGCTGGAGATTCTCTCCCCCTCTCCACCCCCCAGCCCTCTCCCCTCACCTCCCTCCCTGGCACTCTCTTGCTCACGCTCCCCCACTCTCTAAAAAGAAAATAAATAAATATACTAAACTTATATCCTCTAGAAACTTTAAAAAACCGGATATTATAAGCTAAAGAATCCAGATTGTGTTTTGTTTGGCTTATGAAGTGTTTATAGAAACATTTGATTATCTTTACGCTAAACTGATAATTTTACACTAAACCAACCTTTCTTTAAACGGACTGAACTTACATCCTACATGAACTTTAAAGCCAGATGTCACAGACAGGCCTCCTGCATGTGGAACCCAGTGATGGGATGTGTTTTGTTTGGCTTAAATGGTATTTAAAGAAACATCTGAATTAGGTTCCATCATTTAAAAATTAAGTGATTTCACACAGAAATCTGGATTCTTGCCTTCTCTGGGAAAGTGGTCCAAGGTGGCGGGTCAGACCCATACTGCTGCGTGGCACAGGGTGCTGGGGTGGGGGGTGTCCTCTACTTCTTTGCAGACCCACCAAGGAGACAGGGGAGAGTACGGGCCCTGGGGCCTTGTCTGGAAGTGCGCGGGTTCAAGAGCTTGGCCCACAGGCTGTGAGCTGTGAGCTTCGGGCAAATTGTTTGCCATCTGCAAACCTCTGTCATCCTCCTCGACCAAGTGGGGAAATCACAGCAAACACGGGGGGCTGTGAGGTGCAGGTACCCCAAGGGAGCCCCGGGCCCAGCGCCCGGCTCGCCGGCTCACGTGGCAGCACGCTGCCCAGGAACCAGGGCTGATTCTCCATGGCAGGCGGCAGGAGGGTTGTGGCTGGAATGGTTGCTGAACGTGGGCCTGTTTTCTGGCTCAAGGAAGAAGAAAGGAGAACGTGTTGTCCTGGAAGCAGAAAGACAGTAAGATTTACGATAAGTGGGAAATGTCGGGAATGTGGTAGCAGACACAGTGTGAGCTCAGGTCCGGGTTTCCATCTGACTTCTGCCACGGACGAGTTGTGGGACGTGGGCTGGTCACTTTCCCTCTCACACCTGTTTCCTCTTCTGTAAAACTGGGAGGACAGCAGTATGTCTTCCACGTGGTTGTTACAAGAAGTGAGCACAAGACGTGGAAAGTGTGGCACACGTGTGGCCCCGGGGGCAGGTGTGGTCTGTTCTGCTTGTCCACACGGTTTGCCAAACGAATGCAACGCAGGGACTCAGGGGCGACTGAGCTCGGAACGTGTGGTAAAAAGAACAGTGTAGAATTAGGAAAGATGACAAGCTTGAGTCTGAGGAGCTCTACTTGCTTTAACCATTCATTCTAAAGTTCTGTGCTTAAATTTAGCTTCAATTCCCCTACGCTTCTTGCTACAGAAGAGAAAAGATGTTGATTCCCAGCAGCCGGGTCGGTGTGAGTGGAGGCCGTTCTGCATCTCAGGGCAGTTGTGCACATAACACACACGCATGCACACACACACACAGGTGCACAGACACGTGTGCACATGCACATAACACACACGTGCACAGACACGTGTGCACATGCACATAACACACACGTGCACACAAACGCGCACACGTACCGTGGACACACGGCCGTTCGTGCATTCGGTTTCGTCATGTGTGAGGTGCCCGGCATGACAAGCAGATCTCACGGTTGTTCAGTTAGAATCCAAGAATGAGAAGGGCTTGGCCACGCTGGTTGCAGCGCGCCTGAGCTGCGAGCCCGGGCCTTGGCTGGAGGAACGGGCTCCCGCAGGAGCAGCGGGATGGGAAGCGGCGAGGGGTGCCGGAGGCCACGGGAGAGAGCGGCTCAGAGGGATGCAGGCAGGCAGGGGCTGAGAGCAAGCACGGCCCAGGAGCGGCCCTCGGAACCCGCTCATTGGGAGCCGCTAGACGGGCCAGTTGCACCCACACCAGACAGAGACTTTTGGAGCCAGAGACTTGGACAGGCTCTCGCAACCAGGGCACCCTGGAAGTCCTGCATGTGCCAAGGCCGTTGTTCTGTCCGGCCCCAAGGGATGCTGGCCACCAGACTGGGAGGGAACACACCTCAGCTCCCTGGGTGCCATCCAGACGCCAGGCAGCCTCACACAGGCCTGGCCAGGGGGCCGGCTGTAGCCTCATCCCAGTGGACACGTAGGGCTCCAGCCGCACTCGGCTCAGGTCCCTGCTGGACGGCCAGGCTGGTGGGTGAAGGTCTGGAGCTCATAGACCTGTGTGACACCAAACTGGCATGGCTTAGCATCTGGATGAAGCACAGGCCTCGGATTCCCCGAGCCGAAGAAGCAACAGGACAATGGAGTGCATTCCGCGTCCTCCCCCGAGCGCCACAGGCTGGGGGGAGCTGGGGGTTCGGAGAGGCCCGCCCCCATAAGTGCTGCGCCAGGGGGGCAGCAGGGCCACCCCGGGAGCTGGGCTCTGCATCGCTAGTTGATATTTGCTCCCTTCATTCTGGCTTGAAGGACCTACCAGTGGCCGGGGCTATAACTGTGTTTGGAAAGATATTTTTAGCTGACGGGATGAAAGGAGGCCAAATATAGAGACTGGATTCTCATTTAGGCTGCAGAGGCCACTCAGTAGCATCGTGGATGCCTTTACCCTCAGGCCGTCCCAGATCTGGTCACGCCCGAGACCCCGGACATCCGTCCACGCGTGGGCTTCCCCACCGCCTGCAGACAGACTCCAGTGCCCTCGTCCTCAGAAGACAGCTTCCCCGCCCCCCACCCCGGGCTCCTCCCCATTCTTGGCCACCTGCTCCTGGAAAGGGCAGTCTGGACTTGACATTCCCGCCAACACCTGCTTCTCATTCCCCTCCTAACTGATGAGCACACGGGCCTCTCCACATCTGCTCCCTGAGCCCAGAGGATGCTCTTAGGAACCACCGCGCACACCATGAGCTCCTGCTCAACAAACCCACCGCTCCCTCCTCCCCAGACTCCTTGCTCGCTCAAACCGTGCCTGCAGGCATCCGCAGAGCCGCCAGCTTGGGAGGACAGAGTCAGAGCAAACCTGCGTTCTAACGATCCAAATGTTCGGAGCCTCGGTTTCCCCGCTGCGCAAAGTGGAGGGTGAGGACACAGCCCATTGCCAAGGCTTCGGGGGAGGATGAAGCCAGGAACACATGTGGCCAGCTCAGCATCGCCAGGCTGTATCCGGTCATGGGGCCTCTGTGTCCTGTGCCCTGGGTAAGCCTCCCTGCTTCCATGACACGGTAAGGTGTCCCCGCCCCCACACACAGAGCAGACTCGGGAGCTCGGCAAACGCTGCGTATGTGTCCTCCCTCCTGCCCCGCACACTCCCCATGAGTGCTGACAAAGTCAAGGCCTACGGTAAAACCACACTGAATGCGGATTATCCTAAAGCCCAAGACCTGTTTAACCTCAGAGCCCCCTTCACATGACAGCGCAGAGTCGGGAGATGTCTGTCATGATACTGACGCTGGCGGTAGTGTCTTTGAGACCGGGGGCTCCGCGCGGGAGCCCCAGGAGGCTGGCAGTTGCGGGGTGAAGCCGGCCCTCAGAGGAAGGCTCTCCCGCCCACCCCCTGCAGGTGGGGCAGCTGGGGGCCTACGGCGGGCTCCCACTGCCCCTCAGTGTGTTTCTGAGCTCTGGGGCAGGACGCAGGGGACCACCTGCCTGTTCTCTACTGGAAACAATGAATCCGTTCCAGAGTTTTCGAGGAAGGTACAAAGACACCAATATGGATTCTGTTTGTTTCCCCCGCTCCGTTCCATTTTCAGGGTAAGGAGAGGGGATGGGAGAAGAAAAGCCGTCCTTTCCTTTCCTTCTCCTCCCCTCCCCCCCGGACATTGGTGCAAATGCATCCAGCACTCTGTGCGGCTCCGGGGGGCCAACACCTGGCTGCAGCCCCCACCAGCCTCAGGGAGACGCGCGTCCCACTGCTTTCTCCTTGCCCATGGCTGCGCCCCCTGGGTGCATACGGCGGGAGCCCGGCTCCCTCTCTCCCCGCCCCGGCTCTGGGAACCATGGGCCAGGAGTCTGTCTGCCCCTGCTCCCGGTTTCTGGAATTCAGAGTCTCACTGGCTTCTTGATTCCTGTAGCTCCTCCCAGTTCTCCTTCCCGCCTGAGCCCCCAGGAGGAACCCACACGGTGGCGCGTGCTTTCCCCAGAAGTGTCCCGGGCCGGGGCTCCTGCCGGCAGGTCGGGGAAGAGGGCGGGCGCACCCCCCCCCAGCTCAGGGAACAACTGGGGATGGGCACCAGGCCCCTCCTTCCCCGGCTCCCTTCCTGCTCGCACCTCTCCGCGGCTGCCTCTGGGACTCGGTCCTTCCCGACAGGGGGAGCGTGACCTGGTCCTCCGCCGCCTTTCCCGGCTTCTGTCTGCGCTGTCAAATACTCCTTAAGACTCTGCAAAAATAGGCTCTTTTCTTCAATGGCTCGAAAAACACAAAATAAGTGGTAGAAGCCTGGAAATTACAGTCTTTCTTTCAATCTGATTGTATTTGGGGTCATGCTTCTCCCTAGCAGGAACGGTATCACAGCCGCCCTAGAAGGCAGAATCGGGCAGGGCCGATTTCTGTTCGTATTTGCTTGTCTTAAGCAGCGGTTTCTTCTTCTTGCTGATGCAGGTTGATTTGCATGGAATGTTCCACTTTATACCTGCTTTCCCAGCTTCGTTTCTAACAGCACCCCTCCTTTGCTCTAAAAAAATGTCCTGGTTCAGGCAATAAATTAAAAGGTCGTTTTAGATGAAGCAGTCCCTGAGGGCTGAGAAATTTCCTCCTTCGTAATCTCATGCCTAGACCCCTCCTAACAATAGTTGAAGACTTAAAACAGGCTTTAGGAATGACTTTTAGGACTGACAACCATCAGCAGGGGTGATGTGCAGAAGAAGGAAGGGAAAGATGTGATTTGTGCACGAGAACGGGGCGGGGGCGCCCAGGGACTTGGCAGCCACCTGCAAACCTGTATTATGTGTCTGGGCGTGCGGCTACAACGTACCGATTTATCTGTCCGTCTTTCTGTCTCAAGCTGTGTCACAGTGTAAATATTCAATTCTGGGAAATGTTCTAAGGCAGAATGATCAGAAACCTAAGAGCCAGATTTTAGAAGGCACCTGTCTCCCAAGGGACATCTGGGCGAAGCCCAGCAAGTCGGTGGCTGAGCTGAGACTTGAACTTGTATCTTTGGCTCCCCACTCAGCGGCTCCCCGCTCCCTCTACCTCACCATGCTGTCTCCCCTCCACTCCCGACGCCATCTTCACCCACCCCTGATGAGAAGGAAGAAATGCAGCGCAAAATGAGAGGGCCAGTTTTCCGTTTGGAGTTGTTGACAACAGATTAGCACGCAAGTTATAGAATCAGGTGGATGGAGAATCGGGTCTCGGCTCTGTCCCTGAACGGAAGGCGAAAGGGAACGATACTGTGTTAAGAATTAAACGAGATAATGTCTGTAACAGATCTGACACCCAACAAATACTAGTACTTATTATTCCTTTCGATGGGGATTTTTCTCTCCAGAGCACACCTCAAGGGTCTTGGATGGAGGGAATTTCTCCCTGGGGTGTTGGTTAGACTAAGAATGTCCCTGATTCATCTTTTATTCACTTGCCTTCAAAGAAGGGCCACGCAGGGTGTGATCAGACAGTGGGGTAAGTGGTGCTTAGGATTTTGAAAGAGCCTTGGGCAGGAGGCCTGGGTCTGAACATGGCTCCACCTCTAGGTTTGTGAGCTTGCTGGGACACCCCACGCCCCTTCTCTGGGCATCAGTGTCCTCCTCTGTAAGTGGCGGCATGGGACTTGCCCAAAGCCGTCCCTGCCAGCCCCAGCAGCACCACTTCCTCCCTTCTCTTTCCCTGCTATTTATAACCAGCAGTCCTAGCTCGCTGGGACGAAAGGAAGCTGCCCCATCGGATGACCTTGGTGTTTACTGCACTGCTTAGTGAGGGACTGAATAGCCCTCAAGATCACGCCCTTGCCAATGACCGAAGATTAGGGAGGGATGTGGAGGGAACAGAGCTGGTCCGGAACAGGGCAGCCTGTGTGTTTGGATCCTCCCTTGTGGGGTGAATGGACACAATGAGAAAGCGGGGGTCCCAGCCCTGCCTGCCTTTGAACACATGGGTTGCGCGACCTTGGGCAAATCACTTAACTTCCTTGAGTCTCATTTTCCTTAGCTCTAACGACAAAACAAAGCAAAAAACCAAAACCAAGTGTTCTAGAAATGTGTAAGACTTCAGCAAGATGAAAAGGACATGAAGGGTCCCGGCTCCGGATGCTTCCAGAGCGTGGCTGCCCGGATGTTGGAGTAGGCAGGCTCTGTCCTCGGAAAGAGTCAGGGGGAGTTGGGATGTTCACCCTGGATTTGTGCATCCCAACCAGAGGGAACTGTATCACCCCCAAGCCGGGGGGATATTTGGCAGCGAGTGTCTGAGACATTTTTGGTTGTCCCACCGAGGAGGCGTGCTGCCATGTGGGGAGGGCAGAAGCCTGGGACACCGCTAAACACCCCACAAGGCACAGGGACGGACAGGACGGCCCCTTGACGTGTTAATGGTACTGAAGGGGGAGCTGTTTCGGGATGGGGTCTGGATGTTCCGGGGCCTGGCCTGCTGGCAGGTGGTTAATTGGTGCGGGTCGAACTGATGTTGTAGGGGAACGGGAGCCTCTCTTAGTGGGGATGGCGCTGGGCAGTTGGGCCCTAGAGTAGGGGTGCGGATGGAAGATCTCAGTTAAGATCAGTGGGGTGTTTCTCACCATCGTCAGTGTCTGCTGCGGACAGGCCAACTTTGACGTGGTGAGCATCCTGTCTCTGGGGCATTCAAGTGGAAGCGCCATGCCCATTTTGTCAGGGATGTTTGTGGGCCGTCGGGCCTCGGGCAGGGAGTCAGGGCTCCGGCCAGAGACCCCGGAAGGACCTTTTAGTTCTGAGACTGATGTGCCAGGGCCCTCTCCAAGCCTGTGGGGTTCCTCGTGGGAGCCGGGGTGCCGCCGATGCCGTGTCACGTTTGCTGAATGAATGCGTAGTACTCTGGACACTGGGTGAGAGAGGTCCCCCGGTCTTGATCCCCGCAGGTGAAGGACGTGGTGGGCTATAACTCCCTGGGCCACTGCTTCTTCACGGAAGACGGGCCAGAGGAACGGAACACCTTCGACCACTGTCTCGGCCTCCTCGTCAAGTCTGGAACCCTCCTCCCCTCCGACCGTGATAGCAAGATGTGCAAGACCATCACGGAAGACTCCTACCCGGGGTACATCCCCAAGCCCAGGCAGGACTGCAAGTGAGTGCTCCCCCTGCCCGCTGCTGCTGCCCCCAGCCCCGTGCCGAGAGCCACAGCAGGCCTGCGCCCGGAGGGTCCTGCCAGCAGGTGCTCGCTCACCCGCCCAGCCGGGCCTCTGACCTCTGCACCCTGGGGCTTCTGAGCAGCTTCTGAGGGCTGCCCCCCCAGCCCTCAACCACCCACTGCCCTCAGTCTCTCAGCCGGAGTCCACGGAGGGCCTGCCTCTTCACTTGCCCATGGCCATCATCACGGTGCTCCTCTGAGAAGGCGTGGGCTGCCACCTGGGTGCCACAGTGGGTACCCGCGGGCACGAGTCGCACTCCCCCACTTGGAGACAGAGACAGAGACAGGACTGCCGTGTGATCAGTGTTCCCGTGCGGGGCCTCTCCCTGAGTAACGGCCCGCTTCCCGGGCCCCGGTGCCTTCTCTCTGTTGTAGAGCCCGGCTCAGACTTCACCCATCAGCTGCCTCCGCCTCATGGACCCACATGCCCCTTTTAAGCTCCAGCACTTTAGGTGCTGAAATGCTCCGCACTCGCACGAGCAAACTGGGTTTCACAACAAACTGAGGGTTTCTCAAGCCTCTGGTAAGAGGTAAGGGAACCAGCGGCCCATTGGGTGACGCCACGCGATCTCTGTCCCCCCCTGCCCCCTGCAGTGCAGTGTCCACCTTCTGGATGGCCAACCCCAACAACAACCTCATTAACTGTGCAGCTGCGGGGTCTGAGGTGAGCAGAACTGACCCTTCTTTGGCCGGAAGTAAAGGTGGGGGCCGGGGCTGGGCCTGGGACCCGCCAGGTCAGGCTCAGCTGGGGCAAAGGGGTCACATGGACTTGGCTTTCAGTAATGGCCCTGTCCCTTCATCATGTGGGTGATCAAAGCACTTTACTGAAATGACTGATTATTAGATGCAGACGGGTGTGGCTTGGCGCCGTGCCTGGCCCCACCAGCACTGTCAGCTAAAACAGTTTAATTCTTGCACCAACCCTGCGAGGCAGGTACCCATACCTTCCATCTGCTGGGCGGGGAAGCCAAGGCAGGGACGGAGAACGCTCCCAGGGGCACGCAGAGGACTCAGACATGGCATTCTGTCTACGCAGCCTTGCTCTCACCCACTCGTCCCTGCCACTGAGCGCCCGTGGGACCCCAAGCGGGCCAGGTGCTGTCTCTGGGCCTCAGTTTCCATAGCTGCTAAAGGAAAGGGAAAAGCCGAGAACATCAGGGACTCAAAGCCAGCCATTTGGAGCCCATGGCCAGTAGAGTAGGACCCGATGGAGGGCTGCCACAGTCAGGGTAGACCCCACAAAATGCGTTTGCCAGGGCTTTTTACTGCCTCCCGGAGGCGTGTCCAGGGATGGGCAGTGGGGCCCTTTCGGGGGTAGTGCTAGGTCCAGCCCGAGTAGGGCCCCAGCAAGGAGGAGTCTGCGGGGCTGATCTCTGTGGCTCTCCCCTGTGCCCCCCCAACAGGAGACCGGGTTCTGGTTCATCTTCCACCACGTGCCGACAGGCCCCTCGGTGGGAATGTACTCCCCAGGTTATTCAGAGCACATTCCACTGGGAAAATTCCACCATAACCGAGCACATTCCAACTACCGGGTAAGTCTTTCCAGACTCTGTCCCCCTGGGCCAGCCTGTTGGTCCTCCTTCCCGGACCTGCAGATCATTAGAGCCGGGACAGCCTCCTGGCTACCGGCGGCAGCCGCCGCATTCCTAGCGCCCGTCTGCAAGAAAACCAAGCAGCCTTTCTCCTCGGCTCCTGGCCATTCTTAGCAAGAATGTCCCGTGGCTGTTCCTGCCTTGGCATCTGGTCGGAGCCAGAAGGAGAAGCAAGGTGCGCCTTCGCTCAGGCTGGTAGCAGGGTGGCGCCTCCTGGCGGCCGCTGAGCTGGGCACAGGAGTTTCATCTGACAGTTCCCTTGGTGGGGTGGGCGCAGTGTTGACTGTGAAGGCTCAGCCTGGCCTGTAAGCTAGAGAAAATCAGGAGGCCGTTCTGAAGGAGGTGGAGGCAGCATGAGCGTCCTCCCCTCTGATCCCTTTGTTTCGTTCCCGGGAAGTGGGGTGCTCCATCCCTGCAGAGCCAAGAGGGCAGGTGGAAAACAGAAGCCCCTCAGTCGAGTGCCACGCTAGGTGCTGGGGACTCCAGGTGAGCCAAGGACGCCCAGCCAGGACAGCAGCTAGGCCAGAGCCATGGGACGTGGAGCTGGGGAGCCAGGCTGAGACCAGAGGTGCCGCTGGGGGGGGGCAGGGGTGGCCTTGGGGGTGCTGGCGCAGTGCCCAGGGCCCAGAGTGTCCAGGCTGATCTTCTGGTCCAGTCCCTGATGGGACAGATGAGGAAGCTGGAGGGGAACGGATACATGAGGATTAAAAGAAAAAAGCTCAAGCAGGGGGAAGACTGAAGAAGAGAAATCCTCTCTGACCCGGCCCCGCGCACACCTGTGTGGGGCGGGAGAGGGACCTGTGGGGGGGGACGCCAGGCAGCACCATGTCCCAGAGGCTGAGCAGGAAGGGTCTCTCGGGGCAGAGGGTAGACACGAGGAGGAGCGGTGTCCCCTTGACAGAGTGGGGTTTCTGAGGCTGTTGTGGGCCGTATAAGAGGAGTGCAGAGGTGCGGGGTGGGGGGCGGGGGGTGGCAGCCGAGCAGTGGACAGGCTGTGTGGCTGCTTGTCAGGACCCCTTCCTCGAGAAGCCTTCTCCTGAGCTGGGAGCTGGGCCAGGTATTGCCTGGATTGGAGGTAATGCCTGGATGGGAGACCTTAAAAGAAGGGGGCTGTGTGCGGGACAGGATGTAGGCAGGGACTCACGGGCATGGGCGGAGGGATGGGCAGGGTGAGGCGGGAGCGAGCAAGAACCCTGAGCTGCACTGATTGGATGGAGCCCTGGGCTTGGGCCCCCCCCCCAGCCCCCCATGAGCCCCGCCCCTGCGCCCAGTGGGTGAAGGTCCTGTCTGGGGTTAGGGTCCTGGTCTGGGGCGATCGTCTGGGGCCAGCACGGGGCCTCCCGAGTCCTCTGAAATCAGTGTTCTTAGCCCGTCTTAACGGAGGCCACAGCTGGGGCTTGGGGGCTGAAGGTCATGGCCGGTGAGCAAGCAGCTGGGGATCTAGCCCCTCATCTTCCAAACTACATCCCCCGACTTAAGAACACACTAGTCAGACTGGCCTCTGCTTACTGGAGAAGGGAGCCTGGGTCTGGGCCTTCCCAGGAGGCCGAGAGTCCCCTCACTGGGAGGCCCTCTGTCCCATGTGGGCGCCCAAGGCTGACCACGTAAACACCTCCAGAGCCAAACAAGAATGTGAGGTTCTGCCCTCGAGTCAGGCAGGAGCCCAGGCAGGACTGTGGGAGGATCCCAGACGCCCGCCCCAGGTCGGAGACGAGATATAAGTTCAGCAGTTCCTGCAAGTCACTGCAGACACATTTCCCTCGCCCTTGATGTGGGGCCCGGGCTTATAACTGCCCAGAGCAAGGCGAGTTCTGGGCACAGACTTAGCTGCATGGCCCTAGACAAGACACGTAACCCTCCAGACGTCAGCTTCCTCATACACACCTCCGGGAGGACACCTTATTCCAGATTCGCTCTGAGCAATGCCGAGCAATACAGGCTCCCCACCTCCCTCACTGCAGACCCCTCACCTCCGTTAATGCGTCCTGACAGCACAGCTGGTTTTACTGGAGCGTGTAAGAGTGTGCGGTGAGGCTGGGCATGAGGAGGTGCTTGCAGCCTGGGAGTGGAAGGGACTGTGTCCCTGACTGTCCCCTCCCCACAGGCTGGCATGATCATAGACAACGGGGTCAAGACTACTGAGGCCTCCGCCAAGGACAAGCGGCCCTTCCTCTCCATCATCTCTGCCAGGTAGTCACCCCCTGGGAACGCACACACTCCCTGCTGACCTCCTGACCCACCTCCATCCTCTTCGTTCACTCATTCACTCATTCATTCATTCATCAAATATGTAGGGAGCACTTTCTACATCCTGGACATGGAGCTAGCTGCTGGGGTAACGTGGTGAAAATCTGAGCAGGGCAGAGTCTGCATTAGGGCTTAGTCTGCAGCAGCTGCAGGGAAATAGAAATCTCTAGAGGTTCCTGGATCCCTCAGCAAAAGCCAGTACCTGGTACGTCGGCAGGTTGGGCTGGGATCTAAAGGGGAAGGGAGAAGTCAGGGAGAACTGCACCGTCGGGTTCGTGGGAAGGGACAGAGCTCAGCCGGAGGCTGGGGGCCACTTTCCAAAGGTGCTGTCAAAACCTCAAGGTTATTAGACAGCCCAGTGCCCTTGAAAGAGGCCGAGGTGCTTGGCTAGCATCAGCAGTGAGTGGCACTGGAGGCGTGACACCGTGGATGGAGGGCGTGTGCTGGTCTGGACACCACTGAGCCCCGCTCAGCGCTCCGCTTCGGAGCCCATGAGCTGGAGTCCAGAGCAGGCGTGAGGCCCAGGGTCCCCCAAGTCAGTGGGGGGCTGGGCATCTGAGGGCCTCCTTCCCAGCCCCAGGGGCTGCATGGCATGCCGGGATTGGGCCCGGCTGGCTAGACTTCCCTCTGCGCCATGACCTGCCTCGGCCCGCGGGGGGTAGGGGCTCCTGGGCCCGTGGTGGGTGGGCCCTGGAGGAGAGACCCTCGCTTCCGTGCCGGCGCCCAGGCAACGTGAGCCGGCTGCTGGGTGGGGAGGAGCTCACGGCCAGAAGGGGGTCCGTCCAGGACTGCCACCTGTGCCCTCCCCACGGTGCCTTCCAGGTACAGCCCACACCAGGATGCCGACCCGCTGAAACCCCGGGAGCCCGCCATCATTAGACATTTCACCGCCTATAAGAACCAGGACCATGGGGCCTGGCTGCGCGGCGGGGACGTGTGGCTGGACAGCTGTCGGTGCGAAGAGCCGTGGGGTCTCGGACAGGGAGGGGGTGGTGCCCCCCCACACGGGGGGAGAGGAGAGCAGGGCAGGGAGGAAGCAGATGCACAGACCCTTGGCCTTCTGGTCCCCCCCCCCAGGCAGAGGCATATGCCCCCCCCAGCCAGCAGTGACCCCCCCAAGACCCCCTAAAAACAGCATACGCAGGTGCTCTGGGTCATCAAACAGTCCCTGGGTGAGGCTCTCTCAGCCACGGAGCCAGTCAGTGAAAGGAGGAAAGAAGGAGGAAGCCAGCATGTTCTGGGCACCCGCTGTGCGCTGAATCCTTGGTGGTCTTTGTTACTGTGCTTCTCGAAGGTACAAATTATCACCTCCATTTTGGAGAGGGTAAACTGAGGCTGAGTCTAGTGACCTTCCCAAAAGGTCACACAACGAGTAAGTGGTTGAACAGGGGCTTGAAATTGCAACTCACTGGACTCCAAAGCATGGCCACAGTGTAATTATGACCGTGGGTCTTGCCCTTCCCAGTAGCTGCCTGACCACTGGGAAATTGGAATCCGTCTGTCCTTCTTGCTGTGGCTGAAATGGGAGTGGGGATGGCTGGGGGGGGGCGGCGGAGTGGAACCGTATCCATGTAGCCTGTCTTTATCTGGTGCGGGACTCAAGAGTGGCCAGGTCCTCCCAGATCCAACCTCGCACCTAGCCCTGGAGTCGCGGGCAGGGATGGGTGGCAGAGGGAGGCTCACGGAGCCTGGGGTGCGTGCTGCTGATGCAACGTGGCCCCAAACGCTGAGCGCATGTTTGCAAGCAGACACTGAGCGGGAGAACCCACAGCTCCCGCAGCAAACCCTGTGCTAGGTAAAGCCTGCCTCCCCACACAGTGTCCACTGAGTGATGCCAGGGACAGGGAAGGGTCCTTCCCTCCGCGGCTCCCCTGCGTGTGGAGTGAGAGCAGGCTCTGACCATCCACCCTTGTCCCCAGGTTTGCTGACAATGGCATCGGCCTGACCCTGGCCAGGTAAGGGCAGCCGTCGTTGTGCTGGGCGCTCTGTGGGAAGCCGGCTCTGGACAGCTCACCCCAGACATCTTCCCCTTACAGTGGTGGGACCTTCCCCTATGATGATGGCTCCAAGCAGGAGATAAAGAACAGCCTGTTTGTTGGCGAGAGTGGCAACGTGGGGACAGAGATGATGGACAACAGGATCTGGGGCCCCGGCGGCCTGGACCACAGCGGGAGGACCCTCCCCATAGGCCAGTAGGTTTGCAACCGTGGCAGCTTCCTTGTTCTGCCAGTGGAGGGAATGATGCTCGCGTGTGATTTCCACCTGCTGGCTGTGAATTCCTCTGTTACTGGTCAGAGAAATCACTGAATCTAAAGATGTTAGCCAGCAGTGGGGTGGAATCGAGAACAGCAGAGAGAAATTAAAAAAAATAAACCAGTGTTAGAGACCAGTCCACAGGGCCACATAACGATCGGAATGCAGTGTGGGGTTCTGGGGCCACGTTAGTGGCAGTTCAGTGTCCGGGCTCAGTGACCACAGCTCCTTCCTCCTCTGACAGCGCATTGCCCCCGCTTCTAAGGATGGCGGACAGACAGACTCAGGCCAATGAGGATAACCAGGAGGGTGACAGAACCCGATGCCATGTGGCACGCAGATGGGGAGCTGCAGTCAGGAGAAGGGAGCATATTCAGGGGAACAGCATGGGAGGTGTTGTCACGCATCCTCGGGGCTGCCAGGCACATTCAAGGCAAAACTCATTCCCCATGAGCCCTAGGGGTTCGAATGAGTGTAGTGCAGGAAGGAACTTCCGCCGGTCATGCTTGTTCATCCACAGAATTGTAGGGCCGTATGGAGGGGTCGTGGGCTCTCTGTTGCTGGTGGAGTTCAAGGCGGGGGGGTGGGGTGGGGAGACAACAGGTGGTTGGAGCAGGGGGTGACCTGGAGGGTTGACCTGCTCGTAGAGCAAAGGGACTCAGTCAGTTCCTCAGCCTTGTGGCGGTGGGGGGGGGTTCCATGAGAGGACATATCTCCCCCGTCTGATGGTGATTCTGCTCCAACATGAATCTGAACCAGACAGCAAGGCCCTGAGCCGGCCAGCAGTGCAGGGAGACCTGCTCTCCGAGTGCTAAGTGTTCCCCGAGCGTCTTCCCTTTCTCCGGGGAAATGTAATCCCTGCCTCTATGGGCAGGACATGGCCTGAAGCTCCCACCACAGTGATGTGGGCTTTGCAAGGACTTTGTAGACAGAATCCTAGCCTCCGTTGGCACAAGCCATCAGGAAGCCCTTGTTTTCGTCTGGTCTAAGTGCTGCACCCGTCCCTTTGGGTCATTTTTATGAGCAACTCTGCATCTGCATATTTGGGGTTGCTTTGCTGAGGGTTACCAGCTTCCCAGGGCCAGAATGTTCTGATGACGTCCAGGGGTCAGTTTGTTTATGGAGGCCTGATAGTTCTGCCAAAGCAGGCAGGTTCCTCACACCACGTTCGTGAGCGGGGACTGCACCCTCCTTGGCCCGGGTGATCCGTCCTGAACAGGCCTAGGCTGGGCTCAGAGGAAAATAAGTATACACTCTATGTACACAGCGAGTAAGGATGAGTGGTCCCCAGAGTGCCTGAAATGGAGGCGCCCCACGAGAACTAGGTTTGAGGCACTGATGCTAATTGATTCCATCTACAGATGCAGACATGCAGGAAGTCCTTGGTGTCCCCTGAAGGCACAGGCCAAGGCTGGTGTGATCAGGGCTTTCCTCGGGGAACTGTATCTGGGCAGGGGAGCCCAAGGTGGAGGATGGGGGACTGCGGAGTATGGCCGGTCCCTGGGGACAGACACTTTCCTGTGTTCATTCCCCTCCTGCTGCCCTTCCTCCTTCACGTCAGCTGTGGGAGGAGGGGGCCCGGCCCTGAGGCAGTAAAAGCATACCAACTGGGCTTGAAGAATGAACAAGCCTAGATTTGGGGCCACCAGGAAGCCTAGCCAACCCCTCTCAAGGCTTGTTTGGGAGTCGGAGGTGGATGAGGGGTGTCTCTGAGCCCCTGCCCTCTGCTGGGCCAAGTGGCCCATTCTCCAGTCCCTTCTACCTCCGCCTCTGAGCGTGTGGCCTCCTCCCGTCCCTTCCCTGAGGCCTGGTGATCAAGGCCTTCCTGGGGTCCTCTGGCAGCCCACACTCTTGCCCTCCCAGGGGGGGCCTGCCTCTCTTCGAGGGATGCTCAGAAGGTTATGCGCAGTTATCTTACCACATAATCATCACCTTCCATTCTGTCCCAGACCCCAGAGACTTGCAATCGAAAGGCTTACTCAGACAAAACTCAATTGGGTTTTAATCTGATTAAATTTTTATGGCAACTGAGACAAAGGCGATAATGACTAATGGCTGTAGTTTCCTAAGGGACATAATACTACCATTCTGTAGCAACATTTACAGTATTTACCCAATGACTCTTCACAGAATGGAAAAATTGGGGGAAATACTTGAATAGAGGGCAATTCCCCAAACCCCAAACCAGCAACTAAACAGATATCCATCCACCCATCCATCCTTCCAGCCATCCATCTTTCCATCTTTCCATCCATCCTTCCAGCCATCCATCCACTCAACCACCCATCCATCCATCCATCCTTCCTTCCATCCATCCATCCATTCATCCATCCGTCCTTCCATCCATCCATCCATCCTTCCATCCATCCGTCCTTCCATCCATCCATCCATGCATCCGTCCTTCCATCCATCCATCCATCCATCCATCCATCCGTCCGTCCTTCCATCCATCCATCCGTCCATCCGTCCATCCATCCATCCATCCATCCATCCATCCTTCCATCCATCCATCCATCCATCCATCCTTCCATCCATCCATCCATCCGTCCTTCCATCCATCCATCCTTCCATCTATCCTTCCATCCATCCATCCATCCATCCGTCCGTCCTTCCATCCATCCATCCATCCATCCATCCATCCATCCATCCATCCTTCCATCCATCCATCCATCCATCCATCCATCCTTCCATCCATCCTTCCATCCATCCTTCCATCCATCCATCCATCCATCCATCCGTCCTTCCATCCATCCATCCATCCATCCATCCATCCATCCTTCCATCCATCCATCTATCCTTCCATCCATCCATCCATCCATCCTTCCATCTATCCTTCCATCCATCCATCCATGCATCCGTCCTTCCATCCATCCATCCATCCATCCATCCATCCATCCATCCATCCTTCCATCCATCCATCCATCCATCCATCCATCCATCCATCCGTCCGTCCTTCCATCCATCCATCCATCCATCCATCCATCCATCCATCCATCCTTCCATCCATCCATCCATCCTTCCATCTATCCTTCCATCCATCCATGCATCCGTCCTTCCATCCATCCATCCATCCATCCATCCGTCCTTCCATCCATCCATCCATCCATTCATCCATCCGTCCTTCCATCCATCCATCCTTCCATCCATCCTTCCATCCATCCATCCATCCATCCATCCATCCATCCATCCATCCATCCTTCCATCCATCCTTCCATCCATCCTTCCATCCATCCATCCAGTAAGTCATCTGACAATCATTTATTGACATTTACTCTATCTGTAAATGCTATCTCAGTGAATTAATTAATGAATCAATAATGCCCTGCAGTGAGGGGTTGCTGGAGGTGGGGATCAGGAATGGTTTACCCAGGAAGTCTCTGTTTTCATCCACCTTGGAGGGCGCAGACAACTCCATGGCATAACATGGCGATCAGCCTGACATCGGACTTCCCTAACTCCATAGGAATTTTCCGATCCGAGGAATTCAGTTCTATGACGGCCCCGTCAACATCCAGAACTGCACTTTCCGCAAGTTTGCGGCCTTGGAGGGTCGGCACACCAGTGCCCTGGCCTTCCGGCTGAACAACGCTTGGCAGAGCTGCCCTCATAACAACGTGACCAACATTGCCTTTGAGGACGTCCCGGTGAGTGAGGTGCTGGGGCAGGCTCCCAGCAAATCCAGACTCTGGGCGGTGATTCACAAGTCCCCCAGGGCTGGAGTTTGAGCTGTTGCCACCACCACAGGGAATGAACAACTTCCTCCAAGCAGGCTGGGCCACGTCCCAGCCTGTCGGCATCCAGACTGGAAAAGTACAAGTGTAGGTTGCCCCACAGGTCAAGTCTGGCTACGTAAATGCCCGCTTGCCCTCATCCTGCTCCAACCCCCTAGAGCCTCTGCAGGGGCTCCTGCCAGACTCAAGGGCCTGAGATTGTTCCTCCAAGGCCTTGGTTTTGACCTCCTGAGTCTCGTGACAGGGCCACCTGAGTGGGTACAATTAATCTAAAATCCCAGGGTTTCCAAGGCCCTCTTTGCTAAAGATGCTCTGCTCATCTCTCCCGGAGAGTGCACCGTGAACGGGGTCCACCCGGACACAGACAGGTGCCGGCAAGGAGCTGGGGTGAGGAGAGCAGGACAGAGGGTTGCCCCTTGGGGCTGGGCAGGGCCAGATGGCCTGGGGCATTTACTCTGGGTTACGGACCTCCCAGAACTTTCTCTTCCTCCCCCTGGTCCTCCTCTGAGCCTACCCTTGGCCTGTCTGCCCAGCACTGGTGGGCTGAGGGGAAGAAGTGAAACTTGTTACTTCATTTCTTTACTCAGGCCACTGAGGCCTGGGAGAGGTCAGTCTTGGAGACCTCCACGGCTGGTGTTGAAAGACTGTCTTGATAAAACAGCACGTACACACACATGCACCCCTGCGTCCCCTCCCCTCCACACATCAGAGCACTCTCCAGGGTCCCCCACAGCAGCCGGGCCTCCTGTGAGCAGAGGCCAAACGGACATGTTGCGTCTAGAGCTGAGGCTGGTGAGCGTCTGGCTGTTTGTCTGGCTTCCTCTGTGAGGTCAGCCGGGAGGTCAGTCGTGAGGTCTCCTGCAGCGCCCAAGAGCGTCTTGGGTTTGGCCAGGGTGTCATGTCAGCGGAAATCGGAAACTTCTCCCTGGCCTGATGACGGCTGCCATTTCCCTTCAGCTCTGGCCCAGCCCTCACTTTCCTGGGCTCTGTTTAGATTACTTCCAGAGTGTTCTTCGGAGAGCCCGGGCCCTGGTTCAACCAGCTGGACATGGACGGGGATAAGACGTCACTGTTCCATGATGTCGATGGCTCTGTGTCCGAGTACCCGGGGTCCTACCTCACCAAGGACGACAACTGGCTGGTCCGGCACCCAGACTGCATCAACGTCCCCGACTGGAGAGGGGCCATCTGCAGCGGCCGCTACGCACAGGTGGGGAGACCAGGGCGCCCCTGGGGCCACCCATCCTGCTCCCACCCCCCAGTCCTGTGACGAGGAGCGCAGGCCTGCCGCAGGCCTGGCTCTGTGCCGAGCAGGAGATTTGGGTGTCTCTCCTCTCCTATTTTTCTTTTTCTCTTTCCTCCTCACCCTGTAGAGTTTTCAAAAAGTCAAAGTGAAAACACTTCACAGGCAGAAAGCAGAATGCCTTGGAAGGGGGCATTCTGACATCAAGGGCTTGGATTAAGTCAGGCCCCAGTGCATCGAGTCGGCGTGAAGATGTGGGCAGAGGTGAAACCCGCTCCTCATCTGTGAAATGGGGATAATAGCTGAACCTCCTTAACGAGGCTGTGGGCGTGGGTTCATATACGGATGTAAAGTGCTCCACCAGCCTCAGCCGCCAGAACTGTGGTGCAAACCATGCATGTGGTCTTAAATCTTCTAGAAGCTGTGTCAAGGCTAGGAAGAAAGAAACGGGAAATTAATTTTAATAGTATTTAATAATGTATTTTAACAGCACACTCAGAATACTATCGTCTCAACATGTAATCGATGCATAAAAATCATTAGTAAGGCACTTTACATCTATGTATTTGTCTTCCCGTTCTAAGTCTTCAAAGTCCCCACACCATTTGGGTGTAAATTTTCAACAAAGTGGAAGCGAGTCCCACTGAAATGATAAAGTCATGTTTAGCGGGAAAGTATTTTACACTGCCTTCAGTTTGAAATCTAAATTAATTAAAATGAAATTTAAAATGCAGGTTCTCAGCCACGCTGGTCACGTTTCCAGCGCTCAGTGGCCCCGCGTGGTCAATGGCTGTTGTATGGAACAGCATGGGGAACATGGTAGAACCGAAAACCTTCGTTAGCTATGATGATGCTACCTTAGTTAGTACGTGGCTGGTGAATAAATGAGGAGGCGTGCCCAAGAGAATGAAGGTGTTACAGGTGGGGGAGCCCGGCGAGCCCAGTGGTCCCGGAGTGGGAGACGAGTGTGAAGAAGGAGGTTGTCCTTGGGACCACCTGCCGGCAGGTACTGCGGGCGTGAGGAATGGGGGTCTGGGGCAGTGAGAAAGGAGCTGCAGGAAGTCTGGGGTCTGGGAGAGATGGGACAGGGAGCTGGTGCCAGAGAGGGGAAGGGGCCCCGGGGCCAGGTGGGCACTCAGAGTCTGGGGTGCTGGAGAGACAGGCGCCGGTGGAGTAGTTGGGCCGGCGGGGAGACAGGGCCGGGCTCAGGGCAGGAGGTGGGGCCTTTGTGCGATAGAAGGAGAGGCCAGATGGTGGGCTGAGGAGGGTGGTCCCCGCAGAGAGCCTAAGGGTGGGAAGAGGGGCCGGGAGGGCGGGGGTGCCAACCAGAGGCTGGGAAAGCCGGGTGGAGCCTGGAGCCGGGGCAGGGGAAGGGCGCCCACCTCCCTGCTGGAGAGCCCTGGGGGGAGGTGGGCCTGTGGAAGGATCCGGAGAGGCTCCCGCGGCCTGCCTGCTCAGGGCGAGGGATGCGACGCTGGGGGAGCCGTGGGCGACCTGGCCCCTTCAGGAAGGCACGCCGGGAGGTGGGGTCAGAGTTTGCTGATAGACGGGATCGGGTCCTGAGGAATCAGAGGGTGACAGAACCCTGGGCCCTCGTGCCCCGAGGGCGGGCCCTCCTTGCGGCGCCCCTGGGTGGAGCCTCCCACCCTTTCCTTCCCACACATTGCTTGTCTTCTTGCAGAAACGCTCTGAGCGTTAGTGCTTGCCCGGTTATCGGGACGGGCTGCTGCTTCGTCAGTTCTCGCAACCCCTCCCTTCCCTTCACAGCTTGATCTTCCCTTGAACTTGTGCTTCTCCTGAGCGCCCAGCTATGGGCGGTGCCAAGGTTTCCCTCTCCATTTCATGGGCAGCACAACCGGAGGGGAGATGCCCCCTCCCCTCCACGTGCACAGTGGCTCGCGGCCACGGGGACGTCGCCGTGGGAATACGGGACACTGTGTCCTGCTGAGGCTGGCCCACAGCAACCGGGCTCTCGGTTCCGCGGAACTTCCCATGCGTTCTCTGAAATGAGATGCCACTCACTGGTGCAGGGTGTAGTGACACAGGGGCTGGACCCAGGGAAAGGGAGGGAGAAGTGGCCACACGCCCCGGGCTGTCTCTCCAACGCAGGCGGGACAGCAGCTGGGGAAAGGAAGCGGCTTTCACAGCGGGATTGTCCAAGTTCTCGCCCCCCTCCCCTTCCTCCTCCTTCCTCATCCCCTCCTTCCTCTGGTTACTTTGGGTTTGCCGTGTGACTATGAAGCCAGCCCCTCCCCCGTGTCCACTGGGATGTCCTGGACGGAGCCCTTTGCTGAGCATGCACGGGAAGCCTGAGCCGGATCGCGCACCCGCCAGCAGGAAGATATGCCCCCTTATTTGGCCGGTGGTTCACGAATCCTTAAAAGGGCTCCAGGAGAAAGTTCCTTTGAAAGTGGGGCCTGTAGTCCGATGTTAACCAGACGCTCTTGGAATAATCCCTTGTAATTGTCCTGATGTGTGTTTCCTTTTTGGGTTGCAAAAGATGTACATTCAGGCCTACAAGACTAGTAACCTACGGATGAAGATCATCAAGAACGAGTTCCCCAGCCGTCCCCTGTACTTGGAGGGGGCCCTGACCCGGAGCACGCACTACCAGCAGTACCAGCCGGTTGTCACGCTGCAGAAGGGCTACACCGTGCACTGGGACCAGACAGCCCCCGCCGAGCTCATCATCTGGCTCATCAACTTCAACAAGTGAGTGGGTGCCCAGCCGGAAGTGGCGTGACCTGGGGATGGCCACTCTCCTGGAGCTCAAGGCCACGGTGAGGACGTCCCACTGTGATGAAGTCCCAGGCCAGCCCATGGCAGGCCCGCAGAAGGACTCCTCTAGAGGGGCCGAGAGCAGCCGGTAGTTAGCGATCAGAGACCGGGCTGAGCCCCCTGCTCTGGGCACGGCTGACCTCAGGCACAGTGTCAGGCTCCAACAGGGGCTATTGCTCTGCCACATCGAGGAGCTGGGGCTGGTGTCACCTCCGAGGGCAACCAAGGGAGGTGACATGACAGCATGTCACTCAGGATCTGGCCTCATAGATGGAGGCTGGCGCGCTCTCTGTGAACACGGTCACGGTCTCCCTGGGAGACAGACATCAGATGTGGAAAACGATACCCACAGACATGAATGGGCCCTGAGATCGGGCCGGGTCAGGAGGGCTGAGCCCTGTCCTCCAGATCCTGGGCTCTTTCACAACCCGGACGAGAGAGCATCTTTCTGCTCCCGGTGGAGCACCCCAGTGTAGGCCTGGGAGGCGCCAAGCCACCTTCCCGGTGAGCCCCTGCCCGCTCCCACACACTCCGCACAGACCCCGTGACTACAGTAGTAGGTGGTCCTTCGGGACCGTCCGTTGTGGAAACGGGGGAGGATGGCTCGGTCTCTCTCCAGGGTGTGCCCCGGACGCTCTGTGGCCCTGGACATCCCTTCCCATAACCTGACCTTCCCTCTGACTTTAGGGGCGACTGGATCCGAGTGGGGCTCTGCTACCCCCGAGGCACCACTTTTTCCATCCTGTCGGATGTGCACAACCGCTTGCTGAAGCAGACGGCCAAGACGGGCACCTTCGTGCGGACCTCACAGATGGACAAGGTGGACCAGAGCTTTCCGGGCAGAAGCCATTACTACTGGGACGAGGACTCAGGGTGAGGAGCCCCTGCTCGGCCCTGTGTGGCCCCCTGAGAGCCACCAGCGAGTTCCCGGCTGGTGGCGTAAAATGCTTTGCTAGGGGCTTCGATTCAAAGGCCGATGGCACCATCCACCGATGACATCTTCCAAGCTGCCAAGCTTGGGCGTAAAAAAACATTCCAGGAAACACACACGGGGAATTGTAGGAAATGTGCCTGTTTCAGGAGCAAAGTGAAAGCAGTGAATCTTAGAACGGAGAAAACGTGGTGCGTTACCTCCGATCCTCACAGGCCAGTTGGAGCAGGTGATGGCACCCCTCATCCGGAGTGGGGGACGAGGAGGGAACGGAGACGGATCAGCAGGGGCCCGCCCAGAGGCCACAGCACAGTCTGGGCATGGCTGGTTTCGAACCCAGGCCCATCTGTTCCCAAAGCCCCCCACCCTTGTGCTAAATGGCACCAGGTTCTACTCAGTAGATACAACAGGGATGGCCTGTCTGTCTGGAGATAGGGAGCTGTTTGGTCCCCTCCCCTAAAAAGAGTAAGTCTGACATCTCAGGAATGCCCGCACATCTCTGAAGCCATGAGGCTGTCGACAGCCAGCCCCTGGGAAGTCCAGGGAAAGGATCACTTTACAGTCATTTTCCCATTCTTTTTTTTTTTTTTTTTTTAAGATTTATTAATTTGAGAGAGAGAGAACGAGAGAGCAGAGAGAGGACAGGCAGAGGGAGAGCGAGAATCTCAGGCAGGCTCCACGCTCAGTGCAGAGCCCAGTGAGGGGCTGGATCTCACCACCCTGCCATCAGGACCTGAGCCGAAACCAAGAATCAGACGCTTGACTGACTGTGCCCCCAGGCGCCCCATCTTCCCATTCTTGTATTGAGGTGGAGGATAAGGAGATCCCTAGCAGGTGCTCTCTCTGGAGATGAGGTTTATCAGTTTGATCAGAGAGAAATTAGAACTTGAAAGTCAGAGGCATAAGTAAAATGCTGGGGTGGGGGCCGTAGATAGCACCCCTTTGCTCACGTGACTTCTCAGCCACCGTGGGGCAGACAAGGCGGCCGGCGAGGAGGGAACGGTGTCTGCTGGTGAAGCTGCCGCTGGAGCACAGAGCTCCCGATAACGACCCCAGGCAGCGGTGAACGACCGCGGACGCCCCGCAGACGGCCCACCCTCAGGACGCAGGGCGCGGGGGGCAGACCGGGGTGCCCGGCCTCCGTCCCCGCAGTCAGGGCGCGCTGATGATGAGGCTGTGCTTTAGTTCGGTTACACGCTCGGGGACTGGGAGCCGGGTTACAGGATGTTGGTTCCTGTGTAGAAGCCCAAACCGTCGGGCTTCCCCAATTCTCGGGGCCCCTCTGCCCGGCCAGCATGTGTCTCTGGTGCCACCAGTGTGGGGTGGGGTGGGGGTCGCGGCATCGGGCTCGTTGGGCGGTGTGGGCACAGCCAAGGGTCAGCCCCAGGGACAGCCCGCGTCAGATGTGCTAACAGGTGGGAACCACCAGAAAGCTCTCTCCGGAACTGAACCAACAGTGATGAGCCCCAAGTTAGTGCCTTGGCTTGCTCACCATCTGAGCTCCTGCACCCCCCGGGCCGCATCTGGTCCTCGCCCCTAAGCGAGAATCAGTTCTGGTCTGGAGGAAAGCCTGGCAAGGAACTGGTAGCACGCTCCCGAGCCGGCGCCGTGAAGGGACAGACCGCCCGGCTCTGTCACTGTGCAGCTGTGGGGTCCAGGGCAAGTCACTTGGCTTCTCTGAGCCATGGTTTCCCCGTCCGAGAACTCAGGACGGTAATGGTACCTACCGCTCAGGATCATTCGAGGGTTAAGTGAGATACTGTGTGACTTTGTGGCCAGCACGTAGCATGGCGTAGAGCAGAGGGTCCGCCTTAGTGTTGTTCCCTTCATCCGATGCATTTCTCTCTCCGACCGCAGTGACGCAAGACAGACCCGGCCCACTGGCCACACTAACAGGGGCGGCGGGGGGGGGGGGGCGCCCTTGGGGGAGGAGGGGGAGGAGGAGGGCTCCCACGCCAGAGCAAACCGGCCGCGCTCCCTGCGTGCAGGCTGTTGTTCCTGAAGCTGAAAGCGCACAACGAGAGAGAGAGGTTTGCCTTCTGCTCCATGCGAGGCTGCGAGAGAATCAAGATTAAGGCTCTGATGCCCAGGAATGCGGGCGTCAGCGACTGCACGGCCAGCGCCTACCCCAGGTTCGCCGAGAGGGCTGTCGTGGATGTGCCCATGCCTAGGAAGCTCCCCGGCTCTCCGCTGGTGAGTGGCGGGGGGCGACCTTTGCCTGTACCCGGGCCCAGACGCAGGGAGGGCCCTTCCCAGACATCCGCCCGGCTCCCCGGCCGATGCGGTGACTTCCGTACCAGGGGACGTGGGGGACGGCTCCCCAGACCCAACAACCGCGCCCGGCTGTGTCTATTTTCCAGAAGACAAAGGACCGCTTCTTGGAGGTGAAGATGGAAAGTTCCGGGCGGCGCTTCCTCCACCTCATGAGCGACTTCGCGTACATTGAAGTGAGTGGCTCTGGCCCTGTGCGGGGGCTGGGGGACTGGCTGGCCGTGGGGTGGGGTCGGTCTCCTAGGGCTGTTGTCACAAGCCTTCCTCCTCTGGGAAATGGATTCCCCGGTCATCCTGGAGGGCAGAGGTCCAACGTGGTGGGGGGGGGGGGGGGGGCGGTGTTGGCAGGGCCGGGTCCTTCTCCAGGCTCCCAGGGAGCAGCTGCCCAGGCCTCTGCGGGCTTCTGGTGGCTGCACACTGTCCCCGGCTCAAGGACACGCCCCTGCATCATCTGCCTTGTCTCCACAGCCTTCTCCCTGAGTGTGGGAGCCCCACACCCCCTGCCTTCCTCTCACAAGGACACTTATAACTGGGCTTAGGGCCCATCCTAAATCCACAGGGATCTCACCTCCAGATCCTTAACGTACTGACATCTGCAAAGACCCCTGGTCCACATAAGCTGACGTCCACAGTCTCTGAGTGATGGGGCCGTCATTCGGGGCCCTGCAGAGGGCTACAGAGAATTGATGGAGGAGGGTCTTATGCTTGGAACAGCTTCACAGGCAGGCTGCCCTCAGGGCCCACATGGGAGCCACGGAGCAGGAGAACCCGGGGCCTTTGCCGCCCTCGGGCCCCCACGTCACAGCTGTGTTGCTTTGGGCCGGCAGGTGGATGGGATGAAGCATCCCAGTGCACAGGACGGCCTCCAGGTGGTGGTGATCGACGGCAGTCGGGGCCACGTGCTGAGCGAGGCGAGCTTCCAGAACGCCATTCTGCAGGGCATCCCATGGCAGCTGTCTGAGCACATCGCGGCCATCCCCGACAAGTGAGTGTGTGCGCGGCAGACCCTGGGCCAGGCCCCCTTCCTGGCCAGTCGGGTCTGTGGGAGCTCGGGGAGTCTCCGCAGTAAAGGGCCTGCCCGGCGACTCGTGCCGGAGCCCAGGCCGTGCTGAGTGCGGGTCAGGCCGAGGTGGCTGGGCTGCCTGCTTACAAGTGGGAGGCCTGGCCTGGCCCTCTTCCCGGACCACAACACACTCCCAGCATGATCTCACCCCTCCCACACTTCCAATTCGATCCAAATGCTGGTGGCTTTTGAGTGCCTCCAGCCCAGACCTCTCCTTGGCCCCGGACATTCCTGTCCGACTGCTCCTTGGGCAAGGCCATCTGGACGTCTCCTCCAGGACTGACTCTCGCCATCTGTTGTCTTCTAACCTCCCAGACCAGCCCCTCCTCCTGCTCGCTCTGTTTTGGTTCATCAGCACTGTCCCTGCAGACAACTGCACTGGAGTCCGGGCGTCCTGCTCGACTCCCCCTTCATTTCTCCTCTGTCCCTGTGTCCATCAGCCACTTGCCTGAGCGCCCTCCTGCTGGTCCTCTCAGGGGCTGCCCCGCGGGCCCCTCTGGCACCAGGACCCCGGCTCAGCCTCCTCCCGGGCTGGCCCGTCCGCCTCCCTGGTCAGACCCATCCTCCCTGCGGACTGCTGGCTTGAATTCTTAACTGTACCTCCTGCGCCCTCCGCTAGAAATCCCCGGAACTCCCAGCACCTTCCCAGTCTAACACACACGCACCTCTCTGGTGAGGTCTCTTCCAACGCAGCTAGAAAGTTCTGCCTCTACTAAAGCACTAGTCTTGGTTGGACCGGGGACATGGCTGCTCCCGGATCCAGGGTATGTATGCACTTCTGAATGTGGGGCCCACATCTAACTCAGATGTGCGTTTCTGGCTAACTGGGTGGAGAATCCACTGAAGAGCCAGGAGCCGGCACAGCAGGAAGCCTGAGTAAAGTGCTCAGTGTGGCACCTGCCACACAGGAGGTGCTTAGGAAATATTTGTTGGTAAGAACAAATGTACTTCACTAATGCTGAGTGTGTGATGGGCGCGTCCAGAGAACAGGGGCTCTGCTTACACTCAGTCTGTGTGTCATCCCCCACTAGAAGCTTCTTTAGCATTGCACATTCGTGCAGAAAGATCAGATTTACTGATTTGGGGAAAACACATTTTTCATCTTGAGATCCATAGTTTTCATGCCTTTTTTGGCCAGAGGATTTCTTCTTGAAATGAAACAGGATGCAGAAGTCTGGAACAAGAAGGGAAAATGCGGAGCCGCTCCGTTTAGGGGAGGGGCAGAGGGATGGGACCCCCCCCGCCCCCCCCATGCAGGGCTCCTCTGGGCCGGGGCAGTAGCCCCATGTGCCTTGCAGGAGGAGCCCTCACTGAGAACCTGCTGTGAGTCAGCCCTGGGGCGGCACCGCGTGCCCTAACCAGCAATTGGGTACCAGCAGCCCCCTCTCTGACCTCCTGCAAAGGAGCAAGGAATGGGGCAGGGCAGGTCCAACCTACTGTCACCCAGGACTGCCCTGCGCCTTCCATCCTGTCCCCGGGCCGTCACTGGCCTCAGGGTCCCAGGGAAAGGAGGAGGCAGCTGCTCGCCCCGAGAACATCAAGGATGGCTTGTAGGAGCGGCCTCTGTGCTACCACCCCTGGGAATCTCCCTGCTGACAGGTGCAGGGGCTCACAGGCTGGGACGGCCCCACACCAGGCAGACAGGGACACCTATAGCATGCAGGAACACTGTCTCCATGTCCAGTTCCTGTGAGCTAACCTAGGGCCGTGTCTGGAGGGCACGACCTTTGTTTGGAGTCACCCCAGCAAGAAGGGACTCCCGTCTTTGCTCTGAGCTGGAACAGTGGCGAAACCGCCTCCTGGGCACCCAGCCCAAATCCAGGGGTGAGGATGTGTTTGCAATGCTCCCTCTCCCTACAGGCTTTACCCCCCAACCCCTCAGGCCTCCTCCCAGTCCCCCCGAGAGCTGCACGCAGCCCCGGCTCCCTCCCATCTGTCCTGAGGGCTAACAAACACTCAGAAGGAGTGTTCCTTCTGCTCCCTGTGGGACACAAATGGGGGTGACAGTGGGTTCCAGAACTCTGTACAGTCTCTCCATGTCTGGACTGTGGTCTGTGGTTATGGGATTCCTTTGCGATGTGAACTGGAAGCCCCACTGGGCTTCTGTTCCTGGGGGAGGTGCTCACTTCCTCCTGTCTGGCCCGGCAGGCTGAGTCTGCCGCCAGGAGCCTGTGTTCCCAGCACTTTGGCCTGAACACAACCAAGGCAGGGGAGCCTTGCTCCAGAGCTGGGTTTTTGCAGGTTGGAGTGCCAGGCTGGGAGCACCCCTAGCTCCGGGTCTCTGCCCCCGCCCCCAAGCACGGCTCCCCTTGGACAGGCCTCACACACTTACCCTTCTCCCCAGTCTTCCCATTTGCAAACCGAGCCGTAGTGCTGTCTTGCCTGAGCAGAGGGAAGGGACGTGAAGGCGGAGGTTAGCCCTCCCCTGAGCATGTAGTAACCCCAGGCTGTGGCTTTCTCTCTAGTCCTAACCAGTAAGCGCAAGCTGACGTCCCTCCTCCACGTGCCGGCCCCAGGAGAGGTGTGCTCCGCGCACCTACTCTGTCCTCACTGGGGCCAGACATGCGTGGGCATCAGGCCGGGGGAGAGCAGGCTCGGGGATGTGTGGGAGGGCTGCTCAGGATGTCGGTCAGCACACAGAAAGGGCCGGTCGGCTCGGCACACGGGACAAGCTGCCCTTTCCCAAATCCCCGGTCGGACCTCTGGGCACCGCTGACTGCCCCGCCCCCGACTGCCGCCACCGCCCAGGAGGAGCCCTCCCTCCGGCCCCTAATGTCCCCTTCTCTCGCGCAGCTCCATAGTGCTCATGGTGTCCAAGGGAAGATATACCTCCAGGGGCCCCTGGACCAGAGTGCTGGAAAACCTCGGGGCACACAAGAGCCTCAAGTTGAAAGGTAAGTGGGCGTCCACGGACTGTGGGCCCAGGTGCCTGGGGCGCGGTGGCTGCTACCTCTGTGCTTCCCACCAAACCTCTGAATCCTCAACACAAGTGGTGGCCTTCTGGAATGCATGGGTGAGGTGCCGCCTGTCTCCATGCCACACGGCAGCTCCCTCTCAACGCACAGCCAGACACTGCCAGGGACTTGCTAGAGCGGTTCACCCGTCTGCTCGGCAAGTGCCCCCCGCTTTTGAACAAAAGTATCCGCAGAAAAGTGGCTTGATCGGACCATCGTCCCAGGTCCTGCTGCTCAGCCGGGCAGGGCCCACGTCCTTCTCCATGCTCTGGCAGTCGTCCAGCATCTGCACGGCGCGCTACAGTCCGCACAGCTCGTTTGTCCCTCCCTGCCTGGGAGAAAGTGGAAGCCCGAGGATTCTAGGTGGCTTCTTCAAGGTCACCCTGCACTTTGGTGACAAAGCCCAGCACAGACCCCGCAGGGAAGAAGCCAGCCCTCCCAGAAATGCTGGCCTGACACTCATCACTGTCACCACAGGCTGTGGGGGTGGGGGTGGGGGGTCCCTGGAGAGGCTGGGAGGGAGGCAGAGCGAGCCTGTGGACACTCATGTCCACCGTGGTCCACGTGTGGTGTGCAGCCCCGCCCCTTGCTGAGTACCTTATAATTCATGAAGAACCGGGACATTCGGTGCCCTTATTCTCATTTCAGATGGAATTAGACACTTCAGTAACTTGCCCAAGTTTCGAATTTGGATCCGAATGTTTCTAGTCCAGACCAGTCAGGGCTGTTGGCTGCCATGCCATCCTGACCACAAGAAACGTCTAACGTGGGTCACCCATCATAGGAGATGTTAACTCCAGGCAGCTCCTGGAGAAAAATCAGGAACCATGAATGAAGGCCCTTCAAAGGAGCCAAAAGAGAACCCCAGGGAGAGAGGTCTCTTCTCCAGCTCAGTCCTGGAATCATTTTGGGGCCTCTGTCTTTTTAATTAAGACCCTGTTGCCAAAAGCTGACATGCCTAAGGTGACCTCAGTCAAGTGGTGCTTTCCCAGTGCTGAGAAATGTGAGCCGTGTGCCGGGCTGGCCGTTCCTCGGTGTGGACATACAGCCCCACGCCCCTCAGCTAAGCTCTGAATGCAAGAGGGAGACCGCCGTGTGGGGCTGAGGCCTCGACATCTGGTTGGGCTGCTCCGTCCACTCTGTGCCCTGGACAAAGTCCTTCTAAGGCCGCAGCATGTGGGAGCGGGGGAGAGATCTTGTAGAGGCGCCCATCCCTCGTGGACAGGTGGGGACGCTGGGCTTCAGACAGGGGCAGGGGGCTCAGCTCGAAGGTGGCGGGCACTCCCGGGAGGTGTCCTGTGTAAAGCAGAGCCACCACCCCAGGTGGCTGGCCCCGAGGCTCAGGGGACACCCCCGCGTGCCCCTGGAAACGACACCGGGTACCGTCAGCAGCCGGACACAGCTCTGCCGTGGGGCACCGAGGAGGAGAGGGCTCCCTGGTAGGGGCAGGTGGATGGCGACAGGGAGCCCTGCAAGGTGATGGGGTGTGGACATTCTCTCGGGGCTTCTGTTCACGGGACCCATCCCTACTTTCCAGAGAAGATGGCATTCGTTGGCTTCAAAGGGAGCTTCCGGCCCACCTGGGTGACTCTGGACACGGACGACTACAAGGCCAAGATCTTCCAAGTGGTGCCGATCCCCGTGGTGAGGAAGAAGCAGCTGTGAGGAGGCCTGCTCGCGGTGCCGCCGCCCTGTGCGGTGACGGCAGACCCCAGTGGACCCCGGCGGCGGCCCCTGGCACAGCGGCATTAGCCGCCCGGTGCTGCCTTCCCCCTGCAGCCCCCACTCAGTGTCTCCCTGCAGCCCCGGGGAGGCGGAGCTGCCCACACTGGAGACCTTCTCTTCCCTGCAGCTTCCTGGGTGCTTCTCTCCTGTCTGTGCCTCTGCAGGGGGTGGGGGGGGGTGCGTACAAGGAGCCCAAGCCGTGCTGGCAAGCGGGTCTGCTTCGGCGGGAGCCCCGATCCAGCCACTCACAGATCCCCATGCTTTCCAGCACACGCAGTAGGGGGTGGAGACAGGAAAGGAGAGACTGGTCTTCGGTCTTTGGGAAATCTCTGTTCCTGTAAGCAAGCACCAACCTTCGTGGGGTTAGGAGCCGGCGTGTAGACAGCACTCGCCAAGGCGGGACTGGCTCCCCTCGGGGAATGGGCGAGCCCTGCCTCTGGAGGGGTTCAACCTTTCCGGAGACTTCAGGTCCTGGGATGGGGGGAGGAATAGGTGACTTCTAGAGGCCCTTTCCGTTGTGGGATTCCAGAAGTCTGTCACTTTTCCTACCGCACACAGAACCCAGCTGTAGATGAGGAGATTCTTTCGGGCCAGCACCTGTGATGCAGGGTGCCTGGGGCATGCGGGGTGGTGAGAGGCCAGGCCTGGAGTCAGGGGCTTGCAGGCTGGGGGCACGGGCGGTCAGGTATGCATGCCCTCCGATACCAGGAAGAGAATGTGAAGGGGGGACGAAGAGGACCCACGCAGGTGCCCTGCAGGGAAAGATCCCGCAAGCTTGGGTGGGTCGAGAAGCTTCCCACAGGAGGAGGAAGGGGGCCTGCCGGAAGGAAGGGCAGGGCATCCTGGTGAGCAGAGGGGTTCGGAGGTGCAGCCCTTCCAGCCTGCATCTGCCAGAGCTGGTGACTGCAGGTCACCCTCTGCCTGCCGTTTGCTGGCCCACTCATCACGGCCAAGCATGCGGGGGGGCTTGGGGGGCTTATAACGCCCCCGTGGGGAGCACTTCGGTCCCCAGCTAGCCCCGCTCTGACCCCAGACGGGGGTGGAGCTAGGTTGAGAGAAGTGAGCTCCTATTTGGGGCCTCATGTGCTCTTGAATGGGCTCACCCCTCAATGAGCCTGGGGTTTCGGGATTGGAAAGGACCTTAATGATGACCTAGTCCCAAACCCTCATTTTTTGGACGGGGCACGTGAGACCCTGACAAGGGGAAGAACCACACAGCCAGGCCGGGGGCCGGGCCAGGAGCCCCACGCCCAGCACCTGCTGCCATACCACATTGCCTCAAAACTGGCCCCAGAGTGCCTGCACTCCCGAGGGAGCTCCCCAAATGGGGCCAAGACCCCTGGAAGGAAAAAAAACTGATCAGAATAGAGAGAACTGGCTGATGGCGGTTTCCCCCCTGGCCTTCCATGCACATAGGGCTCTGTCCCGTGGGCTGGCGGCGGCCCTGCAGCCTTCATGCTGTTGCAAGCACCGGCCGTCCCTCGAGAGGGCTCGCTGCGGCCACGACCCTCCCACTGGCGCCCCTGGCATGCAGGTGGGGCCCGGGGGACTGTGTCGGGGCACACTGTCATTCTTCTGGTGGGCCAGCGTGGCTGCTCCGGGGGGCCTGCCGAGCTGCGGGGCCCACCACAGGCCCTCAGCCACCGCTCTCCACCCTGCAGAGAGCTCTGACAAGGAGGGATGCTCCCGCTCTCTGCTGAGGTCCCCGGGTCACCGGGGGCTCCACGAGGAGCTGCGTTTTCCCCTCTCCTGTGCCAACCACAAACCCTTTTTCTTCAAAGGGGGCTTTCTTGGCTCCCTGTGGCTGGCTGTGCCCATGACACTCGGGCAGGAGGCCCCCTCCCCAGGCTGAGCCGACACCTCAGTTCTCCCAGCGGCTCGGAGGTGGTGGCGGGACGTGGCAGCTCCCCAGGCCCTACTCCCGGACAGACCCCTTGCGGGCAGCCGCGTGGCCCTGCAGAGGGGAGCCGAGATGACCTCAAGTTCGTGGCTACGGTTCTGCGGGGTTTTCAGACTCTGTCAACGCAACGGGTCTCACACTGTGAACCACTTAGGATGTGATCACTTCGGGTGGCCAGGAACGTGGACTGTCCTTGGTTCGGTTACTTTCCAAAATGATGTATTTGAGAATCCTCAGAGTTGTACATATGTCTAACAGTGCAGGATCTGCACACTTTCTCTCCGCCACCCGTCACCACAGCTGGTGGCCGGGCACGTTCTTGGTGGCACGGATTGTCTTGCAGCTTGGAAAATTGTCCCTACGGTTCTGTTTGTCAGCCTTCACATGAGTTGGGCCTTTAGGGTAAAGGACACTCCTCTGAAATGCTTGTCTCCTTCCTGTTGCCGAAATAGCGGGTCCTTTTTCGGGAATTCGATGTATAGTGTGTTTTGTATGTAAACGTTTCTTATAGGCGCCACCACGAACAAAGACGTATTTTCTATTTATTTATTATATATGCACTTGGAGAAGTCATTGTCAGAGAAACGAAGAATTGTCTTAAATGTCGTGTGTGGGGGGTGTGCCCAGAGCCTTCTGTGGGCAGCAGAGGACCTTGGCTCTGGTGTGGAAAATCTTGCTGTACCATAGTAAACATACAAACGATCTCATTCTCCTGCCTGCGTGTTTTGTTTTCCATGAACGCGGCCCTCATTTTAAGCTAGATATCTAAGGAAAATAAGATTGACGAAATTAGCCTAAGTGCCTCTCTCATTTTCCAGAATAGTTACAACTATCCTATCCTTGCCCTGCCCCAAGGGGGCGCCCACAGTAGCTGGTGCGGCTGGTCCCGCGAGAGAAGCTGTCGTGCGTTCATGTGACTGGCCAGGCCCAGCACGTGCCCTGTCCTCTTTGCTCCCAAGCCGTCCGGAAGCTGTCAGGGCAGCTCTGCCCCTGGGGGTAGCCAGGAGGGGCCAACAGGGTCTTGGATCGAAGCAGGACTGTCTCTTCCTCCTGGATGCCAAACACAGCGTCCAAGCATAGCGTGCAGGTGGAGAAGTAGGTCCGAGCCAAGCTGCCAGACAGGACAGGACAGAAGCAGCCTAGTGCGGGCCCCTCGGCCGCACCGGGAGGGGCTCGCAGGATCTGGGGAGGAGGTGAGAAGCAGAGCCTGGAACGGGGTGGCCAGGGAGTGTTGTGAGCTGCGCCGCCCCACAGGCAGCCACTAGCCACAGGTGGCTACCTAAACTTCTGGCACTTCATCTGCAGGCGGAGGTCACACTCACACATTCTTTGAGCAAATGTGTGCGGCACCTGCTCCAAGCCGGGTGCTGCACAGAGGGGGCATGAAAGAGCCCGGGGCGGCGAGCTGGCCTCACCTGGAGTGGGCAGGGGTCAGTGAGTGGGCTGCAGGTCAGCGACTGACAAGGGACGGGGACACGGCCCGGGAGGACAGAAAGCCGGCAGAGGTGGCGGACATGGGTCGGGGAGCCGCGAGAGGGGGAGGCCGGCGGGTGGGTTCCAGGGCCCCCGGCGTTTGATGGTGGGGGGCGGTCCCCAGTGACTTGGCAGCCAGCAGTGTCCCTGCTTGAATGCGCACAGGCCCGGTGACACGGGAACGACCCCTGGGGAGGGGCAGGGGACCAGGCGGGGCCCCAGGAGACCACAGCCACCGGCCAACCCAAGAGCCAGCGTGCAGAGAGGTGGGGTCTCTGGGGGCTCTCCGGCCTTGGCTCCTCCACCCATGCCTACAGGGGAGTCCCCGTGTGCGCGCAGACAGGCCAGCTTGGTGGGGGCCGGGGCCGGGGCCACAGGAGGGTCTGTAGAACGAGCAGGAACTAAGAAGTGAGGAAGGGCAGGAAGAACGTTCCGACGGGGAACAGGGCTCACAGGCCTGGAGGCAAAGGCCGGGGAGACAGCACGAAGCGGTGGGGGGCTCTCCTACACGCCGGAGGGAAGGAGAGACAGGTGTCCACTCTGAGACACCCTGCAGTGGCCTCGAGGGGTCAGAGTTCAGACCGTCTGCCTGAAATGCAATGGCATGGAGTTGGAAGCAGGATTGGGGCATTTTGTCCCCACATCCAGGGGACAGACGGGGTGGTCCCCAACCTAACGTGTGCCTGCGTGTCCGCCTCGTGACCCACCACCGCGCCACCCACTTGTCCCCTGCCTGGCCCCAGGCACACAGAACTCTCATCACTTCTCACCCACCCAAGGCACCCAGGGCCCCCGCCATGTGACATGTGACCTGTTCCCTATGTCAGGCACACACTTCCCTCTTTCTCCTCCGCTGGCTGATGCCTGCTCTCTCCAAGGCTGAGTTCCACGCAAAGGCTTCTCTGACCCACTCGTGGCCCTGTGCACCTTCCTCCTTCCTCCCCCAGGACCCAGGGCCTGCACCCCCACAGCGCACACCCTGCCTCGGGCTGTCACTCAGCCCTCCCACCAGCCTCACTCAGGGCGGGACCACCCAACTTCCCACAGGGAGCAGAGTTGTGCGCTGTAAATGTGGTATCGCATATTGAACGAAGGCATCAGCAGATCTGGTCTCTGCCCTCTTCACGGGGGCCAGGACCCAGCTGCCCTCTGACCCCACGCTGAGGCCCCCTCCCCCAGGGGGCAGGGGAAGGAGTGGGAAGCGAGAAGGGGGAGGACCTCAGAGGTGTGTGGGTCAGCTCCAGACCACATGACACGGAGCGTGTCGCCTTAAAGCAAATCAAGTGAACTTTGGATTTCCAGCTCATGTAAATGTTATGGTTACACCACACTGTAGTCTACTAATATGCAATAGCATTATGTCTAGAAAAGCCAACGTATACACCTTAATTTTAAAATACTGTATCATGGGGCGCCTGGGTGGCTCAGTCAGTTGAGCATCTGCCTTCGGCTCAGGTCATGGTCCCGGGGTCCTGGGATTGAGCCCCACATCGGGCTCCCTGCTCAGAGGGGATCCTGCTTCTCTCCCTCTCTCTCCGCCGCTCCCCCTGCTTGTGCTCTCCCTCTCCGTCAAATAAATAAAATCTTTAAAAAGATTTTTAAAAATAAAAATAAAAAATA